CGACAAACGAGGTTCCAAATTATATCAAAATGAGTCACAAATGAGCATTATTTAAATAGTTAGTGACACAGTCCTAACTATTAATTATTTTATATATTTTATTGTAGTTTTAGCATATGTTAATAAAATACTTACTTTTAACAAAAATCATACAGAAATAGAGTTGTCAGTATTCATTCAAAAATGGGTGTGTCACTAGTTTAAAGTGTATTTTAAACTTACTATTACTAATTAAAACAAAGGAATATAAACTAAACGAGTTACAAATCATTTGCACAATTTGATTATACACTTAAAATTATTATTTTTTTTACTTCAGTATCAATTCTGACATGTTACACATGAGATATATACCACACGGGAAATTTCCGTAAACAAAAGAAGAAAAATTGGGAAAAAACTGACTTAATTAAGTTTTCGTAATTAGTATATTGTAATATATTATATTATTAATATAATTATAATTTCCATTGTGTTTCCTTTCCATAGTCTCATGAGGCGGACAAACTAATTAACTAGCATAGTCAAGAGTTACATATTTAGGATAAATTCAATTACCGCAGTAATTATTAGAATATTAATTATTTTAGTTGGCACGCATGAAATTATCAAAAAATATTTATTTATTGTTAACATTAAATATTTAATATAAAATTATCATCGCTTTCATGCGAACTATTAATTCGCATTACCTCGCATAATGCGGCTTCAATCAGTGCTGATTTACTATATAGTATGGTTTGAAAATTTGAAAACAAACTAAATTTTAATTGACAAAATAACATTACAAAAAATTATAGTACACACATTTATACATAAATTATCGCTTTTTTCCTTTATACAGGCTCGTTTTGTGCATTTTATTTTTATGCGATCCTAAAGTCCTTGATTAGTCCGGTTTTGAACAATCTGGGATATTGGCAGAACAATATACAGGGTGGGTTGGCCCTTTTATTTATTTAATAATTTATTTTTGAATATTAAATGTACACATTTTGAAGTTTTTTTTTTGGTATAAATACGAAAGATAACATCTTTTAAATGACCCCCGTTCTCCTCTTCACAACTGCTTGCAAAGTGACTCTGTTATTATTAAGTAGTTGGTACACCTGCCGGAAGTACTTGTAGCAGTTGCCAAGAGTAACATAACTTCGCATGTCAGACGTGATTTGAACGAACCTATAAATGATGATCAAATGTTTCGGTCCTTTGTATTGGCAATACATGGTCTATCATCAAAGATAGAAGAGCCGGATTTAACTCAATCAAAGTAAAGTGTTTGTATTGGGAATCGGACGGCTGAAAATCGACAAAGCAGTTTTGATGCTATTGGGTCGAGAAGTTTACAGGTTCGCAACAGCCTCGAAACATTTTCTCAAATTGGATATATCGATGTTAGTAATTAGTTTAGGCTGCGCGCGAGACGATGGTACATTTATCAGGTAAAATTCATTGGCTGCGTTCAGGGAAGCTGTCAACGGCAGAGGATCTGCGGTTCTTCCCCGCCCGTGTTCATCCACCGATTCTCTCCGCCCTCGTATTTATATTTGATCATTTCGCACCGTTTCACCCCTAGCGATAATTAACTCACAGACAGCTCTGATTTGTATTTTACACGGAAACATTTCAATGGAACGCTTTTACCTTGTTTGATGATATGGACAAAAAAAAGGACAAATAATAAAAAAAAAGAACTTGCAATGGGCCGGAATATTATCGACATTTCACGTACTTTTTGATAAAGAACGTGTCTATTTTACCGATTCAAAGAGTATAGCGTCATATTTTTTTATTTCTAGTATCCTAATTTGTTATTTATTTTCACAAATTAAAACAAATCTCATTTAAAATATTATTCCATAACAATAATTTTATAATTAGTTTAAATTTATCGTGAATTCAGATATGAAGTCAAATGCGCACATCATTATTATGTTTATTTTTCGAAATAATTAAAATTACAAATATTTTTAACAAGTAGTTTATTATTATTAATACTTTAAAGAGAAATATACACAAATAGAGAATACAAATTTGGATTCAATTAAATTGTTTAAAAATTTGTGTAAACCCGAGATCCATTGAAATATCAAAATATTTTGAGGAATATACTTGAATGTGGAATAAAATTTAATTCCAAGGCAATTCAAAATGTATGTTTATTGAAAAATATCAGTAGCTCAATACAATAATATAATAACAAAAAATAAAATAACAACAATATAATATTGAAATATTTTATGACAAAAAAATAATAATATCGATATTTATTTTTTGTACAGATTGAATATACATCATCTTTCATAAATAATTATACTACTTACTTGGTATGCACCTAACCTAATTATATAATAATGTGTGTAAATGTTGAAAGTCATCATCTAAATATTTAAATACGAAGGCAAAAAATATATTTGAATAAGGAATATTTTATAAAGGATTCCAATGAAATTGTAAATTTAAATATTTTTTTTTAATTCACAAGAAATACTCGAAAAGAAATGAAGAAAGTAATTAAAAAGAAATATTAAAGTCGTTTTTTCGTGCGGCTGGATCATTCATATATAGGACAGTTTTTTTTATATTATCTCTGCATTTCAATTCGTCCTCTCCACCGGTTTCATCGTCATTTTTCACAGTCGCCGGTTGGGTAAATTAGGGCCGCGGGTGGTTTTGTTCCGGTCCGGAAACCGGATGCGATGAAGTCCGCCATTCGTTCGACTCGTGCATTTTTAATCAGAGCCGATCGATCGCTCCATACCGAATGCTCGCATCCATTTCGATTATGATTGCCTCTTAGGATGCACTAAATGGATTTCGGTTTTCCTCTAATGTTACGAAGCCCTTGATGGTCGCAAACTAACTCGATCTGCCGAAAATGGCCAGTAATCAAGTTTCCTTCGTTTATGCGTGTTTCTTCTCTGCTTTGACTCTCGAAGAGTGGGTTTGATTAATTCCAGAATGGCAACCGCATATGAACAGGGATGGTTGAGATTCGTTAAGCATGCAGAAAAGTTTGGAAAAGCAAATAGGTTAGAGTTTGCGCGCGCGGTGCCGGCAATTTCCCTTTTCAATATCGCCTGAGCGGTGTGCGTTCAAGTTTCCAGCTTGTTCCTATGTAACAAGTTTAAATCGCTCCAAGTTAGAAACGTTTACCTTTAAAACTACTAGCTTGCCGTTCCTGCTAAGTACGTGCTTTGTCATCTGGCAAGAACCAATTTCAATTAAACGGCGCGAAAAGCAAGGCAAAGAAAGCTCTCTCATGAAAGCAACACAAACTAATAACAGTAATACTACATTTATTTATCATACAGTTATATTCTCACTATACACGAAATGATGTAAAAATTTAACATCTAATAGAAATTAAATTTAAATTATTTTAATTTTTTTATTTACATATTTGTAATACAATTATATAGGTTGTTGTATTAAATGTAGACTGCTATGGGCTTTAGCCTCTTTCAGCCTTCTGTTATTAAATTTTTACAAAAAAAAAAACATCAACAATAATAATAAACAAATAAACAGAGACAAAAGAGCACAAATAAATATTAGTAACAGAGTACAGTGAAATGAAATAAATGAACTGAGCGATGACACAAATATAGTGCACTTAAACAAATAACACTTCACTGCACGAAAAAGCGTAGGAAGAATGTTTTACATCACTGAGGGGTTGCGTAGGAATGTTTTTTAAAGACTTGGAGAAGTTGTGTTAATGTGGGGTCGTTGGTTAAATTTAAATCTTTGTTTAAATATTTTTTTCTACAGGAACTTCTTTAACATTGTTTTCATTTTCTTTGTCTTCTCGTCTCATTAACTCTCGAAATAAAAAATACCATATCAAAATGGTAAATATTGAGTTGTTCGGGAAGTAGTTTCGTTTCACATGGCTATGGACGGGGTCAACAAATTCAATATCCTAGCAACTTCTCGTGTTGTTACACGGCGGTTTGCTTCAAGAAATACCTTTATTCTGTCCTGATCAGCTTAAACTGGTCTTTCAGAATGTGGTGTATCATCAATATTGAAATTGTAATAACAACATTTTGCAAACCAGTTTTGGCTCTGGTGTTCTTTTATAAACTTTAGACAACTTTTTTCTTATTTCAACAGCATTCTAAACGAAAATATAAGACATTTTATTATTTATTTTTGATAGGACACCAAAAAAAACCTCAATACAAATATTTCTTTTGATAAATAGACATTGAAAGAATAAGTTGGTTTCATCACTATTTTGACTTGTACATAAATATTACTTTGACTGAGGAATAAAAAAATTAAATTATTGTATAAACTTATAAATAGATACGAAATAACATATTTTTTCTAATCTAGAACCCAATATTGTAAATCTTGCCAAACGTCTCTAAATATTTGTTAATTTAAAAATGTATTATTATAAAGTATTATCATAACTACTGCCAAATAAAAAATTAACAAACACTTTATCACTCATCTGATTTAGTAGTAATAGTAAACAATATTGATGAAACTGAACTGATATAATTGAAAAATCTATGTCAGGAGTCGGAAACCCGCGGCTTCTGAGCCGCATTTGCCTCTTGCACAGCTTTTTACATATTTATGTTATACTCACACATTTAGTTAAACTCTTTTTTTAAGATTATCACTTATCTGATTTAGTAATAATAGAAAATATAAAATGTATTGTATTACAATATTAATGAAACTGAACTGATGTAATTGAATTTTTTTGTCAGGAGTCGACAACTCGCAGCTGCATTTGTCTCATGTTACTTATCATTGTGTGCGGTTTTATAAATATCTGTTATAGTTACATTTAATTATTTTTATTTTCTTTAACATTTTCATTAGACTTCTTATAACTTCATGTTTTACGTATAGTGTGGATTCAGCATGTAATATATAAAAGAAATTTCCAACAAATATAATGCAAATTTTGGCAAACTTTTGATTCAATTCATTCTTTATCTTATATAGTAATAATTTATCGTTTTGGGTCTTTTCAGGTGATTTTGGGTGGAGGTCGACGACACTGGCTTCCTAAGGTCGCAAACGATCCCGAGCTGACGAAGGAGGAAGGCCGGCGCCTGGATGGGCGAAACCTCATCGACGACTGGGTCCGAGATAAAAAGAAGCGAGGCTTAAAGGGCGAGTACGTCTGGAACAAGGGGCAGCTCGATAAAGTCGACCCGAATCAAATTGACCACTTGCTTGGTGAGCAGAACTGAATGCAGAAAGTAGATAGAAAAAAAAAACACTAAACTACCGATACTGCTCCCTTTCACTTCCAATTCCCTTTCCTTTACTTAATCCCCCTTTCCCCATTCCCATTCAGATAATTCAATAACATTCACGTTGTTAATCGAATGATTTCCAAGTAGGAAACTGCTTCGACTATTTTCCTTTGCCTCCGGAAACGCCGTGCTCTGTGGGTGTTAGTTAATTGGTAGTTAATTTGATCTTGAGGTTACGAGCCGAGACAAACTCTAGTAACTCACATAATCTACAACCCCTCCAGTAAATTAATACGTTTCTCCCAGAGATTGCTCTTAATCTTTGAACTACTTAAAACATTATTGTTTTCTAACAAAACACATACTATCAATTATTACTTATACACAATTAATTGATTGATAATATTGCATAGAATTCAATTCTAACAACTTATGAAATATTACAACGTCTAAAACCAAAACATTAAAATTATTTAATAAAACATAATTAAACTTTACTAAGAAAAAAACAATTTCAAATATTATTTTATTGATTTCAAATTTTATTGATTGCAGTCAATGATGGTTTTTCAGTGGAAGATTTTAAAATAAAGTCGAAATGAAACAAGTTCCTGCCAAACAAATGAACAACCAAAGAAAGTGTTTAAATGACATTGAAAACGTTTTATTTTTTTAGTTAAAATGATCCTGATTTAGAAAAATATGTTATTATATGTGTTATTTGAAAGTTTTTATTTAATATAACTTTTCTTTTCTGACCATATGATTATATCTGAGAACGAAGTTTCATTTAACGAAGTAATTTTGTGAAACACAAATAAACAAAACGAATTCATTATTTGAATAATCAATCAATTGGTAATTAAACTCAAAAGCTCGTTGATCTTCATCACTACAAACATAAATAACGAATACAAATTTTCTAAGATTAAACCGAAGCAAATTCAACATCAAAGACAAACGCTTCACGATAGGAAAAATATTTCTTAAGATCGTGCATCTCGCAAATTTATATCAGGTCGATAAGCACTGAAAGAGATTTACCATTCACTGCAAAAAAAAAATATAAAAAAAAATAATAATTTAGATTAAAAACTAAAGTTATTGCCTTATATAAAATAACCTATTTTCCTAAGACCAAAATTAATAATAATGCAAATTAACGGAACATGTGTAACGTTTCGTCATATAATTAATTTATTTAGACATAGAGATTACAAACTTTGATAACGATATGAAATAACTTGCGTGATTTATTACCTTCTGCCAAATTAATTTATATCTCGCGGAGGATGCTGTTAATGTTTGGGTAACCTGAAGTGCTGTTGTTTTCTACTAAATACACAAGGATATTTCGTTATTATATCTATTAAGTAATAATACTTAATTAACCACAAAAATGTAATTCCTGAGATTAGTTGATTCTGTATCATGAAAATCTATTTTTATTTAAATAAAAAATAAGTTTTACTACTAATTAGAAACAAATATCATTTGAATTCTAATTTATAATTCTACTTTACTTGGCATCATATTTTCATGAAAATTTCCAGTCGTTTTTATCATAATATTTCATAATATTTTTAAGGATAATTTTAACGTTGATTTCTACAGTTTCTTCGGCATTTTTTTTCATTAGGAAGTACATGACGAAATACTAAGAGTACTTTCTTTGCTGTATTATTTTGTTTGTTTCTTTTTTACTATCATTCCAAAAAAATCTGTTGACACAAAGAGGAGTAGAATTTTTTCCACTCTTCTGAATATCAAAGCGTTTATACAACAGTTTACATTAAATTAAATTTTTCTATAAATTGATTCATCATTGCTAGATGAAGAGTTTGCATTTTTTCATCTAGCTTCAGGATATTTGCTTGAACGCAAAAAATACTCTTTAAACGTGGAAATGAGAAAATAAACGTTTTACATCTGGAAGACATCTTTGTATGTCAAAGGATTAATCATTAATTAAAATTTCATGATTGTTGTAAAATTATCATAACTTTCTAATAAATTCCACTTATTATCATTCCACTTTACATTATATCTTAATTAGTTATTAGGAAAAAAATAATTTATTATAAATTATATAAATTTATTTGTTCATAGAATAAATTGCTTTCCACATTTGAAAAGCGCCTAACAACTTGTATGCAAAATAATTGTGCATTCATATTACACAGATCATAATTAATTGCTCGTAAAATTTACAAACTGTGTCAACAATCTGAAGTAAGTTTCGTAATTTATCACCTTCCACTAAATTATTTTGTATCTCGCATGGGATTCAGTTAATATCAGATTTTAGTTAATTAACTTCATTAAATATAAAAGATGTATTCTTTTCGTTTGAAGTATCTATTAGTTTATAATGTATATATAAATATGTATAAAAATATATACATTTCAGAAGATTTTTTTAATAACAGTTTTAATTACTCGTATTTTATAATTATAGAAAATGCATGTGAATTATTATAATTAATAAGTTTGTATTTATAAATACAGTTGTTGTGCTTTCGGTTAATTGTATATTATAATAATAATTAATTGGCCAAATATCAATAAAAAAGAACCGAGGTCATAATTTAATAAAAAGAATATATCAAAGTAATGAGAGAAAAAAAAAGAAAGCAACAGAGTAGGAATTGGAAGGGTTTCAATCAAGTTATATATTATTAAGCAGCAATCAAGTATTTCTATAAAACAAAAGCAACTCACGTGAAGTCTGCAACTCGGTACTAAGTACTTGTCAAATATTATAAATTGTACTTAGAAACTTGCATAAGTACACCGAACACACAATTCGTCCATCCGGTGATCAACAAAAACTAAGAATTGCAGGAAGCTGCAGCTTTATAACTTTAGCTTAATAACTTTCTAATATTAAAACTTGAGATGAGTATTGATATAAATACTCGCATCCAAGTGTTTGTTCGCGTTGATTAAACTTATATCAAACATAATTCTCAGTAATTAACAAACACTTGAAGTAAGGATCAAAACTTTATCTTCATGAGTGGATGCTCGTGAAAACTTTAAATTAATTATGATAAAAAATATTTAATTATTCAAATTTTTTATGGAAATATAGTAATTGTATATCTCAACTTAAATGGTAGTTTCTAATTTATTTCATACGAATATTTAATATTTATATAATCATAATAAAAATAACAATAATTATTTAAAAGCAGTTATGCTAATTTACCGTACTGTTTGAAACCGTACTTATCGAGGATTTTAAAACCGAATAAAAATAATCTACAAAAAGAAGATTACCGTATTGAAAAAAAAAAATTGAGTTCAATTAAAATTTAGTTTGTTTTAAATATTCAAACCGTTCAGTTGTGAATCCGCACTATCCAAAGTATGCTTGTTTTTCTAATTTCTATAAAATTTTGTTTTTTTTAGTGAATACATCTAAAAAATTAATCATGCTCTCACCAGATCAATAATTATTTTTAGTTGAATAACTCTTTTTAGCATATTTACCAATCATAATAAAAATGTTAGAAAGAAATAAAAAATATATGATGCAACTTGGATGTGAATAAAATTATTTCATAGCAACATTTTCTTCTTTACATTCATTATTTATATACAGTGAAACTTCATTTGATAAAAAATCGAAACAATTCTACTTGCCTGATATACAAATTGCTAATGTGTACGTTGTAAACAAAATTCTGAAGCCAGAAACTGATGCGGGTTCTTTTGGTTTTATATTTGGGAACCAAATTGTTTAAGTACCGAAATGTACGAGCATCACGTGTAAATATAGTGTAAAAATTGGACACTTTTTCACAATTATATAAATAATATTTATCTACTTTTTATGTAGATAAATGATTTATTTTTTCTCAAAATTTCTTTATCATTTCTGGATGCGTATTAGTCATGTCATACATTTATATATGTAGGTTACCAGTTAGTAAACTACGTAATACAGAAAGGAGGAAACCTATGTTACATGTTTTTGTATGGATTTTTTTTTTGCGAGTTAAAACCTGACATGTTCCCTAATTGTACTGAAGCCTAATGGGTATGCTGCACATTTAGCTGTAGGTAATTGCGCAAATAGGGATTGATGGGATCAGGATAGGGCGATCCAAGGCGGCTAACGAAAAGTCTGTGGATTAGACCCGCAGGGTTCGAAGCCCTGCCCAGTCTATCCAAACACACAGCCATACATCAATTAGGGCGATTTATGTGGCGAGATTCGCGGATGAATAAAAATTAAGTGATTTAACGGTGAACCCCGAATGAGCTGACAGTTAATTACGGGAGCGCCGATGTCATCCTGCCGGAGGAAATCCTGCATGAGTATGAAATTGATATACCTAATTAAAGGGCCATTGTCGCTGGGAAAATGCGCTCGAGCGGGGTAACGCATTTCATTTTCCACTATAATCGAATGACGTTTTCACGCTCGCATCTCTGGGTCTTGAAAATTATACAAAACTGCGCACTCCAATCAATTTAGTTGTTATTATTGCAAAGTAGTATTATCTCATTGTGCGCAAAACCGCGCTGAAGACAGCCATTAAAGTGTCGCAGAAACAGTTTAATTTTTAATTATTGCGCACGGAATCGTAATGAAGTTACAAAGCGAGTTTTCAAGCAAACAGTAATTGCGCGAATTTAACAAGTAATTAGGTCCTTTCTCCAAATGAACGCAAGAGGGGAATCGTAGCGCCAATAATAATAATAATATTTAATCCTTTTGGCCCAAATAAAAAGAAAAACCCCGTCTTTCCCCCGTCTTCAGTACCATGCATCTCCGGGCGTATAATACATTTCTTGCTCAAACGTTAAATCCTAAACTCCTGCAAACGATATATCTTTCCAACTCCCAGGACCAACAAAAGTGCGGGGCGAGTGGGATTTCTTTTAATTTTATTGCTACCCGAGCACATACACATACACTCACTCTCACGTACACAGGAGTGCGCGTTTGCTGGAATTTATAAACCTCGTCGTAAAACTTTTAAATTAAATCAAATAAATTTTGAGAGCGCTCTCCGAAAATACACCTTCGCTTCCATCCGAAATCCCAGTAATGGATCGATTTCTTTAATGCATGATATTTGACCTTGCTCATCGTAAAACTATTGTATTGTCGTGGCCGACCATTTTATTATCATCTATTGTATAATTATATGTATATTTGTTAGATCTACCATTTTTTCTTAATTATTACAAATAACATTTCACGTATCCATCATATATAAAAACGGATAATTGTTCGTGATGAAATCATATAGTTGCGTCTGCTTTATCAACACTCAATAGCCTTTTTCCGCCCTTAAATATTTGGTCAAAACTGATTTTGTATCTCCGAAATAATACTCTCACGCAGCACCTTTTTGAAATTGATACATTTTTGTATTATATAATTTAGTCATAGTTGAAGGGCCGAAAGGTGAACATAGTCTTACTTGGAGAGTCCAGGAAATAACACTTACTTCCTAATTATTAACTTAAGAGGAAAATGTAACTCTTAGTTTACAATCCATGAGATCAACACTTGTATAGTTGACTTCTCAATAAAAACACTGATATTTGCAATAATACTAATTAAGAATATTGCATTTAATACTCATAAACCCCTTCTACAACGAAATATCTTTGAGATAATCCAGAGATTTCTTACACGACAGTATTTCAAGTTCATTCATTATATTTACTTGATAATAGTTTATTATAAAACAACATTTTGAGAACTTCAAGACTACTTAATACTCAATACTTGTTAAATAACTATTAGATATAATTAAATACATTAAGTACAGCAATATCACAAATAGTCCGAACTCTTTAAATATGCAAACCTAAAGAACTTATGCATCATTCATTTTTTATCCCTATATATAAATTCAATAATATTAATTTATTTATTTGTCTGCTGTTTTAATCTGAACTTCTAAATATTTAAAGAAAATCTTTGGAAATTTTGCTCTTCAATGATGTAGGAGATCTCAGTTAAAATTATATATCATCCAACATTAAATAGTAATGGAAAATAGTCGGTATTTGTATGAATACTATTTTCTAAAAGTTGTGAATCGAATTTCTTAGTCTAACGGCAGAATGCAGTCAAACTAAAACTAACTTGTACTTGGTGAGGTGATAAAGTTGAAGGTTTAACAGAAATGTATAGCTACTGGTGTAAAATATAATTCTGGTAGAGTAAATAGGTAATATATAGAATAACTAGTTAAAATATCAAATAATAAAAATAATCTATAATTTAACTATTGTATATCGTTTTTTATTAAACTAGTTATTTTATGGAATATCGGAATACTTGCTTTAATGGCGACATAAACTAAATCATATTAATATATAGCAAATAGGTAAATTTAGAGCTTTTATAGACTTCGAGTAAACTAAGTTATACAGAATTAGCGTTAATAGAGGAAGCGGTAAATAAGTTTTTACAATATATTCAAGAAATGAGAAGTTGCTAGATTAATTGTTATATAAGTTATTAACATTATTTAATAACATTATTTGAATTTTCAATAAGTACATTTGAAACACTAACTAAATTAATAAAAAAATATTGAATCAATTATTAAAAATATGGAGACTTAAGAATGAAATAAATTAGTGATTGACATTTTATTAATTAATTATACTTTACAAAATTTGACTTTAGAATTTATCATTTATTTTTAAAGTGCTACACCTATTTTATTACTTTTCAAGTATTTTGATTGAGTTGTTACATAAGTCCGTTCGTATTTTGGTGCGTACACGTTGAATAGTTAGGTAGGAGGGAATATTTTGATAACAAGAGTTGTAGTGTACATTTGTGGCTACATTTTAGTGTAAAATTTATTGAATTTTCTAATCTAATTTGTGACATTGTGTAGAGTGAAATTCAGAAAAGATATTTTTTCATATAATACAATATATATAGTGAGGAAATTTAGCCAGAGATTTTCTGACAGTTACTATTTATTATCTATATATTTATTTAACAATTTTTATTGACCCATTTAAGACCAAAGGGCGTATCTACAATATCTCAATCCTAAGAAATACAAGCAATATGATTTGATACAGATAGTACTTGAATGATTAAATGTAAATTTTTCATTAAGTTAAGTTTTCTTCACAAAATATTCTGATTTTAATTTGCTTTTTATACTGTGATAACTTTTCTGATATTCCGATGTAAATCCTTGTACTGAGATCAACAAATTCTTGAAAAGTTGTCAATATTATTTATTAAAGGTATCGCAATTCTAGGAAAGCATTGAGTTTTTTCTTTCGTTTTGTAATTAGGCAACGAATCAAGTTTTGCAAGCAGGCGACAGCACCGCTGTTTCCATGCATATACTACGCATTCGTCTGTCGACTTGTTTTGTACGTCTGTATGTATGGAAACAGAAATGTGTCGGTACATTTCCACATGCACAAATACTCTCTGGCATACAAAATGTAACATAGTATAATGAGAAGTCGAATAGTTGACAACTGCAGCGCGCACATATATCTGGCTGGCGTTGTGGAAACTACACACACACTGAAGTTTGTTACATAAAATCTCGGTCGACCATCAAAACCAAACACTGGCGAAAACTGAATTTCCTGGCCTGTCCATTGGGTGGGGGAGAGGAGGTCGGTAAAGTTTGTCCGTTTCTACCGGGAAACGGAAGGATCTCGAAGCGCACATAGGAGTAGAGGAGAGATATGAGGCGAAATGGAAAGTGGACACTACTGGCCAACTCCGTACGTCCGCACGGCCCCTTAAGTGGATTTCTAATTTTCCGCATCGAATCGCGTTCGGGTCTCCCCTTTTATTGGATTCGAATTGAATTCAATAAAAAAAACAAACAAAAAGAAACGAGAAAGAAAAAACTAAAAATAAAATCCTCTTTTGATGATTTTCTATAAAACATACATTTCCCGTGTCTCTCCAACTAATTGGAATTCTCTTATTGATCTTGCGACTCAAAGGACGTTAAAGTAGCGTAGGCGATAAATACAAATTTATCGAACATGCAATTGCATTCCTTTAGAATTCACATCCCACCTGTAATTCAATTCAATTTAACTGAAAGCGTGAACATCCCTCCATATTCCATACATAATTATCCCATTACATCCATTATTGATATTTATTTGCATCATTATTACCTTCCGGATTAATGTAATAATAATAATAATAGTTCTAGCAGTGGAATTAATATTGGTAACAATCATTAAAGTGAAATTCCGTCTGTTTCTCCTGTTCTTTGTTTATGTGGAATGTTTTGATTTTATTTGTAGGATTGTTTTCGTATTCTCACATGGACTTCGAGGCCGACAGGGATCCGGGCCCAACGGGCGATCCCTCTCTTGCAGACATGACCCGTTCGGCCCTCTCGATTCTACTCAAGAATCCCAAAGGATTCTTCCTGTTTGTCGAAGGTGAGAACATCTGTAAATTGATTCCTCCGAGTCGGCCGCACAAGAGAGAAAACTTTCGTGAAATTGAATTTTCCTCAATTGCGTAATATCCATTTGTTCCTTGATTTTTTTCTTGTATTCTGCTTTCTGGTCCGATTTTTTTTATTCAATTCCCATGGAGACAAATCATTTTAAATTTAAGAAAGCTAAATCAAAACTTTTACAATAGTTATCCATTAAATTTTTCGATTCGTTTAACAATGAACACATACATTTCAAGTATACAGCAGCATAGTGCGACGCCAATATCCCGGACTGTTTGAAACCGGACTTATCGAGGACCGCATAAAAATTTTATTACTGTTTATTTTCTATGATTTTAATTTTGAATATTTTAGTCGACTTTGGGTTTGCTAAATAGTGTTATTCTTCAAACTACCATTAATTAAAAAGTTTTTCTTATGCAGGTTATAATGAAAACTTTTTTAATTAATGTTAGTTTGAATGACACAATTATTTAGTTCACGAGTTTTTTAATGTCATATAAAGACTTCTTGCAAAAGATATCAGAAGTTATTCTAAAATAGTATTTAAAATCTTATATAATAATTAAATAATTTGCAAATTCACTAAATAACTGTATTAAAAACTTTCATTTATATATAGTGGAACCTAATTCATTTCTAAAGACTATTCGAAAACGGAATTATTCAAAAACCGAAACCATTATCCCCATGAGAATTAATATAAAATATTATGAAACCGATTATTTGTTTGGAAATCTGTCCTTTTTTGTTTGTTTGAGAACCGAGGTTCTTTGGTACTATTATATCTAGTAATATTTAGTTTGAGATTACTTCAAAGTCATTGATTTTATTTTAAAAAATCTACAAAATAAATATGAAGACTACAAAATAAATGTAACATTGTTGGTATAAGTTTTAATTTTTGTCTGCAGGATTAATGATGTGTTTATTTTTGTTTTCAGGAGGCCGGATAGATCACGCTCATCATTACAATAACGCTTACAGAGCATTAGACGAGACATTGGCGATGGAGACTGCCCTTTTGGCGGCTTTGGCTTTGGTTAATCCGACCGAGACCCTCCTCGTGCTCACATCTGACCATTCCCACGTGCTGACAATGGGCGGACAGGCGACGCCTCGCGGCCATCCCATTCTTGGTAAACACACCGGTCCACAAACAAAAGGTCAGCAAATCCTGATTCGCTTTACTTTCCGCAGGACCCGACAGCAAAGTCTCCGACGTCGATGGTCAACCCTACACTATGATCCTGTATGGCAACGGACCTGGATTCAGCACTCCGCGCATCATACCAATCAACACTACGACTGCCACTGAAGACCGAAACCAGATTCACGGATCCGCAGTTCCCAGACAATGGGCCACCCATGGAGGTATTATTATTACCCATTAAAATATTAATTAAGACAGGGTTTCAATGATATAAGTATTTTTTTGTAAAAAAATCCTATTTCTTTTATTGGTAGTAAGTTTATATTTGAGTATGTACAAATAGTAAAGCTATTTGAACTGTAACCTTAATAATAACTTATTATTTTTAGTATTCTCACAATATGTGATATAAGACATAAATTCACAAATTACAGTTTTATCGTTTTCCATGATATCATCATGTCAATTATGAAACATAATCCAATACAAATAAAAATTTGACTAAATATTTTTTTAAAACCGCATAAAACTAAATCAATGAGTTACAATATACCGAAAATCGCATAAAAGGGTTTATTAAATTTCAGAAAAATAATTAGTCTAAGTATATTCTTTCTGAATTTTTTTTTCATAATTTTATAAAAACGTTAACAATCATAGACAAGTTTATTAGATTTCAGAAAAATATAATCTTAACATATTCCTTCTAAATTTATACGGAAAAAAATTACAAAAAAAAATACAGAATTTTTTTATGAAAGTTAATCTTTCTTCACATTTTTTTCTTTAGAATTATCGTCGCTATATGAGATTGTTCGGCATAATTTGCGAACTGGTTCGAAATCAGTTCAGAATTATCATCTTTTTCGATGAAATGGTTTGCCAATTTGTGTCAAAACGTGTCAAAATGTCCTAAAATAGTTACTTTAAAAAAATTCTTTTTGAAATAAAAACCGCATAACTTCAAAACCGCATAAAAAGAGTACGCATAAAAAGAGGACCGAGTGTATTCACAATGCAACTCCATGAACTCTTGGCTGTGCTCGTCCACAAGATCATCCATATAATTCCACATCCAACCCCGTGATATAACGTGACAATCTTGTTGAATACAGGCTCCACAGGTACTGTCTCAAACCCCTCAAAGTAAAATTCGAAAACGCTCTCCGGCCAAAATTTCTTCCAAAGTAGAAATGAGGGTTCTCTTGGTAAACTTTTCCCACGCCTTTTCGATAATCTTGAGTCAGGCAATGATATGGAAGTGATATTTCCATAAATGTCTAATATTAATATTAAAATCCTCAAAACAATGCTCGAAGAGTGTAGAGTAGTAGAGTAGATCAGAGGTGGCCAACTTTTGTGTACATAAAATCTACTTTTTATCTTAAAAATGTGTGGAGATCTACATGTTGTCATAGGCGCAGTCTAAGTAGGAGGAGGTGTGAAATACATGCTATGTTCATATATATAAAATAACATAAACTTGCGCGATCGACCAAAATTGGCTTCGCGATCGACTTGTTGGCTAACCCTGATGTAGAGCTTGTTAAAGTTCCGTGACATTATTTCTTCTCGCCACTTGTTAAACGTGTCATTCTTATACAAATTATTTTGAGTTATGCGAATTACTCGTTACGAAAAGTGCTCGTTAACCGAGGTTCCACTGTATTTTGAATTGAAGTTGTAGAATTATGGCAATGCTACGATTTACTACGACGTTTTATGTTACAATTTTCTTGTAAATTATTCATCGGTTCTAATGCTGTTAGAAAGTTTATATATAAATTTGTATTAGCTCCAATTTTTAATTGGGGTTTTCTGCTCCGAAAATAGTATTTTATCATTTATTTTCCTATTCTAATTAAACTTTACAATATCTAGTTAATTTTTTATCTATTTATTTACTAAATCAAGCTATATGAAACTTGATAGTGTGATCATACTTGATTTCGTAAAACTTTTAGCCTTAACGATACATAAGTAAGAAGCGTTTAGTAAGACGATTAAGATTCATTCAAATGTTTTGTAGATAATAACATAAAACAAGAGGCTAATTAAGTTTTGCATTATGGACTTTGAGATTTTACGTGTTATGCTATTACACTATTACATTAGTTAATTGAAATTTGATTGAAATCATAAATTTATAAAGGTTCTGTAACTGTAATAAATGTTGTTTTTTGTTAGGTGAGGATGTACCGGTGTACGCATTAGGTCCACTTGCTACAACCCTGTTCACCGGCACCTTCGACCAGAGCTACATACCGCACGCCATCGCGTACAGCGCCTGCCTGGGGGAGCATCGCCTGCGGTGCCAGGGCTTCGATAACTACACCGCATCGCCGCCGGCTCCATCATGCGTGGCGCCCGAGGTGTCCAGCGTATCTGCAGGATCCCCGGTAGTCATCGCCAGCAGCGTGATGGCTGATGACGGATCGCACACCAAGTCATCCACGTCATCGCCGCCGGCCGCTTTTTGCCTGGTGCTCCTTCCTTTGATCTCCAGCGGCCTCGTCTTCTTCGCGGCTACGTAAACGGCAGACAGCTGCCTTCAGTTAACCACAGTGTTTCGAATGAGAGTTTCGCCGTTCTTTTATACGGGTGTCAGGGTACCGTGACAATACACGCCCATCTTCCATGCAACGTCCATTCTATCCGAAGAACGGACGCAGTGGAACTGTAAATTGCATTATCTCTGTACATAATATATTTAAAAAGAAAAAGCATCGATGAGTGTGTACATAATCTAATTCATTATGATTCTATTTAATGACCAAATTGTGATTTTTTGTATATACAAGTATATGGTAAGTAGCGAAACGGAACGGTCGAGCAGCAGCAGCACATTTGAACCCGCGCACGGATCCATCGATATCCACATTCAATTGCGTTTGTTATACGTCGAACGAAACGTAATCGACTACAAACATACAGCAACAACCCAAAAAAAGTAAAGTAAAATATAAAATAAAGAAAATTAAAGTACATATATTATAAACAAAATTTAAAAGACGAATACAAAACTCGTATATTGTATATTTAATTGATGTTTCATTTAATTGTAAATTTTATGATGAATATATATGATTCTACATTAACATCATTTATTTACGCTATTTTAATAATAACAGTAATATATTTTCCCTTTAACTACAAATAATGAAACGCAAGAATTTCATTTTCTATTTCAGGTAAGTAAACTCTATACAATAATAATGCAATTTAAATATAAATATTAAATAACTCTTTACAATAAATGAAATAACATTCATAAAATATAATTTTAATGAATTTATTACATGTAATGTAGTAATCAATAATAGCAACGTTTATATATAATACCCCTATCTCTCGTTTTACACGGTAGATAGTATTTTGATAAAAACACGTAAATCGATTATTTTTTAATATTTATTGATTAATTTATTTTTAAACGACGAAAATATGTAAAACGAGTACCGTGTAAAAAGAGGGATACTTAAAAGAGGTGTACTTAATATGTAAAATCGAATATTTTTTATAATATATCATGACACTATGATTCATTATTTCATTCCTGAAAGTAGAAAAAAAAGTTTTTAATCAAAATTTAGAAATAATTCTATTAATTAAATCTCAATTGATCGAATTCTGCTATTAAAATTGAAATTATTTATTAGGGAAAAAAGTAGTTGAGTATGGTGCATATGTGTACCAACAAGGTTTTAACTGTATATGTATATCTATATATTTTTTTTAATGTTTATTGCATCAGTCGTACAAAAACAAAACATATACAGAAATAAAAACTGATACAAAGAGCTATTTATTTATGACTATTAACTCAATAAATGTTGAATTTCCATAAGACTGGTTACAGCAGTGAAAACATCGACTGGTATACTTATGTAACGTACAATGAAATATAAATTATTGAAACCAATAAACGAATAATACTTATCTGAGTGTTCACAGATGCTTTACAAAGAATTTTCTGTAAAGTTTATAATATATTTAGGGCTACATTACAAAATTAATATTAATTGCACAATATTTTTTTTTAATATTTAAAATTTTATTAAATAATTTATGTAATCATCGAACTATTAGAACAATATGTTGTTTAATGTATTCGGTTGGCAACAAAGATATTGCCAATTTTCTGATACAAATGAAATTATATAATTATTCAACTTTATTCAATAATGGTTGAATACAACATCTTTACGATTTACCGATTTTTTTTAAATTGTAGAGTTTAATCTGTCCAGTTAGCGACCATACACACAATACCTTTGTAATCCCACCAAACTGCATAATTTTCTTTTGGTGCATTTCAGCTTTTGATGTTGTTTGCGTTGGTTCATTTTCTTAGGACCATAACCGCTTTCGTTCGATGTTAACTAAACAATATGACAAACTATCCATTTTTCATCACTAGTGATTATCCGTTTAAAAAAGGTTCAATTTAATTTCGTTTGAGATCCGAATCGTAGATTTTAAATTTTTAATGAATCCCAATTGTTGTGTGCGATACATTTAACCTTTCTGCAATCGGAGAGGATTATGGCTTTGATTTGATCATCATCAACTTCCAGATCGCAGTTTATCAATTTCGGCACTGTCTTTCTTTTAGAGCTTTTAGCAGCTTATGTTGCGTTCTTTCCTTTTCGGAAATAATAAAGCAAAATATGACGAAAATGAACGCTTTTATTCTCCATGTTAAAATTGTACCTACACAAACAACTCTCACAAAAAATATACTTAATTTGGGTATTAACAAAGCTAATATTAACAACTGATAAATGCCAGAACTAAATAATTGTAACATTGATAGACGTCATTCAAAAGACACTACTTCCATCCAATTTTTTGTTTTACCTACTTCATATAAAAAGTATTTAATTTAATAAAAATGGATACCAAATTTATGCAAAAAAATACTTCAAATTTTATTTAGTATAATGATTCTATACTTATAATTGTGATAAATATCTAGAATATTTTTTAAATGCATAAAACTAAAAAATCACTTATAATCTATGGCAAATTAAATTAAATCCAGTTTTCTTAAACACAGTCTCTTTTATAAAAAAATAGTTAATAATGAACGACCAGAATAATAAGAAAAAACTTATTACACCTGCAGGCCGCCAAAAAAATATTGAAATTAAATCTAATATAGATATTAAAAAATAAATAATATAATTTCATTTTAAACTATATATTTTGATTGTTATTACCTAATTCTTGTTTCCGCAGACTATAAGTTCTTGTTCTTATTTGTAATATGGATTTAGTTACGTCTTACTACAGTTGCGGTAGATATCTGGATTCCACATTTATTTTACTTATAAGAAATTTTGCTTAAATAAGGTAGGCAACTTTTGAAACATTAATCACTTTTTTTCTTTATTTGGACATAGTATTACAGATATTATAAAAAAAAAATAGTCTTTTATTCATTAATATAACAACAACGTTGTTTATTATGAAAATTAGTGTAATAGAACACCCTTAATGAATAGTAAACTGGCCATCAGCAGTGCGAATGGGTGTCCTGTGATTCTAGAATTACCATTGCAATTATCTAATTCGCAATAGTCACAGGTGTAAGGTTCATTTACATTTTGAAAATCCGATTTCAATTTATTACACTGCGTTGCTAATTCTGTTTTCTCAGTCATCATGCATCCTCTATACGTTTGAATATCGTAAGCTAAAACATCAGTTTATAAAAAAAGAATGGAACTACCAAATCTTTAGATACATACCAAAATGAACGCATAAGGGTGTCTTGCCATTTAACATAGGAGATTGAAATGGTGGTTTGAAGTTGTCGGGATAACCGGATGTACCAAACATCAAGCTCTCACAGTTCACTTCTGTAACATCTTTCAATTTCTCGCAATCGCTGTTGGCACCGCGACACTGATAACATTTGAGGGCATTGGCTATAAAAAATAAATCTCAATATTCGCATCGAAACGTTCTTTTATTAACTAATATTTGTAATATTGAAAGAACATAAACATAGACACAAGAAGCATTATAGTGTGGTGCACATTAAGTTTGCTTGATGAGTTGCAGTAGTTTTCGTCGCAAACATCACATTCAACGGGTATGTTGAGATAGTCGTGGATGGTTTCGCACAAGACCTTCACCTGTTCCGTTGCCCTTTTCATGCAGGTTTTGGTTGTATACGTTTCGAAACCTTCAAAGGTAATATTATAGCACCATTTCTTTCAATGTTGGACTGATCCGGACTTACGGAATGTGACGCAATTCATTTTAGGCATGCCCCTCGCCTCTTCGAGCAGAGGAAATGGAATTTTCGGTGCAAAAAAAGATGGAAGACCCAAAACGGCATCATAACTCTGTTTTTCACAGTCCTGCTCCCATTGCTGTTTCTCTGTGTTCGCCTCACAAGATTCTTCTAGGCTATTGCATTGCCAACAGTCCAATCCAACAGCTTGAACCACCCAAACAAACATTAAGACCATAGATATTGCTAAACACATCTTACAATTTAGACTACATTAAACATCAACATCCATAGAAATGCAACCAAATACAAATACACTTGGTTCTCTTTTTATGCGGTAGATATGTTCCACAGGAAAATGCATAAAAATAAATCGCACAAAAAAGGACTAGACATAATTTTTTAAAACCGCATAAAACTAAATCAATGAGTTACAATATACCGAAAATTGCATAAAAAATGGTTTATTAAATTTCAGAAAAATAATTAGTCTTACTATCATAGACAAGTATATTAAATTTCAAAAAAGTATAATCTTAACATATTCCTTCTAAATTTATACGGAAAAATTTTAGAAAAAATAATACAGAAAATTTTTACGAAAGTTTTTCTTTCGTAAAAATTTAGAATTATCGTCGCTATATGAGAGTGTTCGGCATAATTTGCGAACTGGTTCGAAATCAGTCAGCATATCAGATCTATGTCCTGAAGATAATGATTCTTCACAAGTAAAATTAGTCTCAACTTCGCATGTTGATTTTTTTTCCCTTTGACAATATAATCAGTGATTGAACTTTGCGATGGCTTTACTATTTTTTTGTACAATTCCTGATATCCAGAAATGCAATTCTGAAGCTCGCGTTGAAACTTGAATGCTCGTTCAGAATTATCATCTTTTTCGATGAAATGCTTTGCCAATTTATGTCAAAACGTGTCAAAATGGCCTAAAATAGTTATTTAAAAAAATGCTTCTTGAAATAAAAACCGCATAACTTCAAAACCGCATAAAAAGAGTACGCATAAAAAGAGGACCGAGTATACCTTATAAGAGTTGAAATCATTTTACAAACAGTGTAAAGCAAACACAAATAGCGTAGCATGCAGAGTTGAAGTCTTTTATAAATATTAACATATGAAAATTAAAACTAAATCTTTTCCTACGACCCCAACTTCAAATTTTACGGGATCCTTAAATCCAAATTTGCCTGAGTCATGAAATTTAACATTGCATTGGACCAATATTGTGGCGGATTAAATATAGTTAATAATATTTAAATAATAATTTATAAACCACCAAAGAATGAAGATCAAAAATTAATAATAAGCATAAATATTCAATTCAAGTCTAAATTTATTTTATTTTTTAGATTTTCAAATATACAGAAATGATTCATCTTCACATTTGATAATAAATTTTATTTTATTATAGAAATCTAGTTTTTGTCTAAGATGAAATTAATACTTTTTAGTCTTATCTATGATCATTTTATCATCAATTTCACCTTGCAAAACAATGAGTTTGTTCTCTATATCAATTGAGGTAGAGAGAAAAAAGCAAGTTTATACAATAACAATTTTTCAATAGTTTATCTACCAACCAAATTATCATTCAAATAAACTAATCTATTGATGTATTTGTTATCAAAGAAAACCATACAGTGGAACCTAGCTTAACAAGCACTCAATAGAATTTTCCCGATATAAACTAATGTAATATACGAAAATGCGTTCCATTTTGGAGTCATTTTTCTTACAATTTATTTTGCTCGTTAAGCGAAATGCTCGTTAAGCAAGGTTCCACTGTAGTCATAGGATGAAGCAATAAAAATAGACAATAACACAATATCAAATTACCAGTTTCATACATTTATTTAAAAAATCGCTACAATTAATAAAAAAAATGTATATTATTATTATTGTATTAAGTACAATTTGAAAAACGTAAAATAAAAATCAATAACTATCATCTGTAAAGGGACAATCATTTTTTCAATAAAACTTGTCAATTTGTTAATTTATTTAGACATAATCGATAATTTCTAATCAATAAATTTAATTATGTCATTTAACAAATCCAATTATTATCCTCGCATCTACGTTTTAATTTTATATAATTAATGTAAACCCAGACTAATAAAATGTTCCGAATATTATTTAAATCATATTTACTCCATCAATATCTGTTTTAACAAATAGTTAAAAATTAGTTATAAATAGGTTTGAAAGACGTCAGTTGTCATCCATATGGTCATAAATATGTTAAATAATAATTACAAATAATGCAACAAAACTTACACGTAACATAAGCAATATTTACTAAATTAATTAATTCAGTTAATGACGTTAACATGATAATGAAGAGCGACCCAATTATATAAATTAAGCAGATTATTTTGTGCGACCAAACATAACAATGTCCTATGAATTCATATAATAGATTGATAATAAATTAATAATGATACACCTACCTGTTCCGAAGAGCAAACCAATAGAAAAGAGAACTAAGTAAGCTTTCATATTTCACGAGTGAACGGCTCAAACTCTAACTAAAAAATGAAGCTCGCTCATAAAGTATCAGGGACGTTGATAAATTGCAATATCTATAGATTAGATAAGCATATATGATGTGCTGATAATTACTTTTCACCTATTAAAAATGATATTCCGCGAAATACATTGATAAATGTTTCTTTGCATTTCATCATGTCTAATTTGAATTTGCCTAATGCGTGATGTTGCGTGATTGAAAATTATTAATTTATATAAACTACAGTCCAACCTCGCTTAACGAGAATCTTACTCGTAACGGGTAACTAGTTAAGAAAAAGATGTAGCAGGCACACAATCTAGGACTTCCCTTCTCCTCTTCACTTATTATACGAAAAGTCGCTCATTAAGTGAGTAATTTTTGTTACAATTTCTGTTGCTTGTTATGCGAGATGCTTGTTTCCTCTGTATTTTAGAATAAAATGCAAATATGAATCAAATTGGAATTTTAAATAAATCATAACATAATTGGTAATATCTATTAAGTTTTATTTTTAGTGTCTATGAAATGTATTTAGGAAATACATAAACTGAATAAATTAACGAGAAACAAAGAAATATCTTTAACAAAATATAATTTTTTTAAAAATTCTATGAAAAATTCAGAAACTGAATATTATCACACATATATTATTAATAAACATAAAGAGGCAATATAGTAACATAAATAAGTAAACTTCTCATACTGTGCGTCGCCAAACATACCTTTACAAACTGAATAGGAGGGCAACTTTGACCTACAGAAGTATCAAATGGTGATTTTTGTTTGAAAAAAAAAATACTTTGATTAAAAGTATCTAGCTTATAAAGCTTAAGTTTGAAGACGTTACGTTGTTTAGTATGTGTTTGATCATCAATAGTGAACGCTGTCAGTGAATTTGTAAACATGGAAAAAATTGATACAATACTTTTAATTAAAAGGTCTCAGTCCAACTAATATCAAAGCCAAGCTAGATTCTACTCTGGGGATTCTACTCATTTGTCTACAAAATATTGGGTGGCAGGCTTTAAACGAGGTCGTACGAGCTACCAAAACGATCGTAGCAATGGTCGAACAAATGAGGTGACCACGCCAGGAATGTTGAAAAAAATCTACAAAATAGTATTGAATGACCGTCGACTGAAAGTGCGTGAGCTAGCAGCAATTGTATGCATTTCAAAAAGTTCTGTGCATCACATATTGACTGAAAATTTGGAGATGGGGAACAAGATAGGTGCCGCGTTTGGTCATAATCAAGACGATGCACCAATTCACATATCCGTTTTCGCGATGGCCAAAATCAATGTGTAAGTTCGAATTGTGTAAATGTGTAAATGAATTGTAAGAAAAATGACTTGCGTAACGAGCGACGTTTCGCATAACAAGTGGAGAAGTCCAGGATTGCGTGCCTGTTACATCATTTTTAAAACATTTTGAACAGTTTAAACTCGTTAAGCGAGGTTCCTTCCATTGTATAATGAAATTAATAATCATTTACAGATGTATCGAAAAAAGTTTTGAACTGGATGTTTAACAAACGATAGTAGTGATTTTTTTTAAATTTTTTATAAAATAAATATGCGTATCTTTTATTTTTTCCACAATCTGATTATATGTTTATGTAAAATAATTACTAACGTTATATTTAAGCATATTTAAAAGAAAAGTAAATAATATATTTTTTTAGAAAAAAAAATCATATCTAATAATAAATTCAATAAATTAATAATTTTAATATTTATTGTTAAAAAATATAGGCCATATAGGTCATTACATATAAATATTATTTACAAGTTTACAAGACTATGGTTATGGTTAATTATAAACAGATATTGGAATGATTATGCAATTATTTAGCATTTTCCAAACTGCATTCTGCTTGATAAAAAATATTTTAGTCTTCTTTAAATTTATAATTTTGTCATTTCTCTAAAAAAAACATTTAAATAATATGATATTTTTAGAAACAATTCATTTGAAGATTATCTTATCTAATAAAAACTAATGCTATGATTTAACAGCTTTATAAATGCAGATAGTAAAAGCGTTACGGACCACAGCGATTTCAGATTATGTAAGGACGAAGTGATATTACATCTATCCCCATCGCATACTTTACAACTGAACTTCTCGTTCTCCTCGAGCAAGTCGCAATATCCTTTAATTGTCTCCAAAGTACCGCGGACGCAGTTTCTGTACATGTATACACCATCGCCTAAAAAAGAAAATAATCAGTACATATAGATTTTTAAATCTCTAAATATAGAATACTTAGATATAAACAATTATGGTTTTCCTCTTGATCTTCGATATTGATGTTGTAATAAATACCGATGGGAAATTCTTGGTTAGGAAATATTCCCGTGTACTTTAATCCATCGCAGTCAACCACCTTCGGCTCATTTCCATCGGACATGTGACAGACACTGTCTTTGATACTCGTCTCGCACGAAAAACAATTCAAACACAGAGCTAAACTCCACATTCTTATTTTGGCTCATTGAGAAGATTTATGAAGAATACTCACCTTCTTCGCACAAAATCACTATTACTAGAATGAGGATTTTCATTGTATCAACTGAGGTAACTGCAACTAATTTGTTTATAATACTTGTCGATTATAATATATTATCGTTATCTAAAAGTATTTGTAAATCTAATCTAAAACGTCATACAATTTATCGATACGTTTACATTTTCTAGGAATGAAATTGTGAAACATAGAAAAGTATATGTTTATCCTTTAAAAATAATCTAGAATACGTATTTCTAAAGAAAATTAAAAGATTTTTTCAACTTACATACCAAGTGAAATTACATTATAAAACATGAATCTAAATATTATTGTTTGTGCTTCATTCTATTTCATTTAACAATAGCTTACACAAAGTTATTGCATCTAACACTGATCATTTTCACTATAAAAATAAAAGTGTTAACATTTTTCATCTGGAACTGTAAGCATTTATTAACGACTTATTTTCAAGAACCATCAATATTTTCAATTCTTCACAAGATTTTGTACAAAATATCTTCATATAATTGAATTATTTTCAGTCGTAATCTTTAGCTTGTTTACATCATTCATATAACACACATCATTTTGTCGTCTTGCAATTCAATGAATTCAAACACAGAACTAAACATCTTCTTACTATTCCACAAATTGAGTATAATTACCTACAAGTAATTTCTTAACTGTGATTAAATTTAATTATTGTTTATACAGAATAGATTTAAATAAAATTATTACTACTTAAAACAAAACAAAAATCACTACAAGATCAGTTAAAAATAGATAAAGAGGACAGAAGGTCGATAGCTCTTCAGTCAGATATTCTTAGATTGTTCAGTAAGTAATTTCGTAATTCACTTGTAACAAAAAGTATTCAAAATAATCTTCACTGAATATGTTATATATCAAGGTTTGTCTTTTGTTGGTTCAGAATTTAATAATATTTCTACCTTTATTTTTATCATTTTTAAACAATATTTAGATTCAAGTTGCAATTGTGATTTGTGTTAAAATACACATTTTACAACTAATAAAAATTGCTCAAATTTGTCTTTTTAAATATTAAATATTTTGATGACATAAGAAAAACAATACATTTTGAAATAAAATATTAAATACTTTTATCAATTTTAGAAATTATGTAAAATATATTTAACAAGTAAGTCTTTCGCTAATAATGGGGAGTTTACAAATTATATATTAAAAAATATATGAAGATTTAAAAAAATACATTTTGAATGTTTGGTTTTAACATTAATATTATCTTTAGAAAAAATATAATAATAGAGTTATAACTATAAGTGTTATTACTATGTACCTAGAGATTGAGTATTCCAAAATACAGAGCTTAACTCGGAGACTGATTAATTAATTATATATAGACTGACTGACTTTATTAAATCTCTAAAATTATATAATTGAAAGGATTCAATAAATGGAATAATTGAAGTTTGTTAAATTGATCTCTTCAAAATGGGAATGTATGCAGTCAGTCAGATAGATAGATGACTTTACTCGATCCGCGGGGCGTTTGCTCTACGGAAAAGTAAACGATGCAAGAAGTTCCGATTTCGCAGGAATTTAATTTCGGTTCGGTTGCAGCCAACGATTTAAGATTAAAGCCGGTCAAACATAGGGAAAGGGATGCAAGGGTGGCCACTCTGATTACCAAATTACTTCGTAAACAGTCTGATACGTGCGGTTATTCCTATCCCATGTTTACTCGGTCCACCCCTCCGTGCAGTGTACTTAGCGATTCTGCAAACACGGAATAGGAACTGACCCTAAGACCTCATCCGTAATACACGGAACACATTAATTATCCGACGACGATTCCTAACATAGGAAACTTTGTTTTAGGTCTTTTAATAATATTTTCAAAAGGAAATTTAAATTTAATTATGCACAGCTTAATTTATTCGAAATAAATAGATGTTTTTAAAAGCGTTTTTAATTACGTTTAAAGTATGTTTACTTATTCTTGCATCATTCTTAATGTAAATATACTCCTTATTAGAGTAAGGAGTTCCAAAGTGATCAATATTATATTGTTGGGGGTCATTTTGAACTTAAGGGTAGACAAAAAGTAAAAAAAAAAACTCTTGAAAGTGTCGACGGTCAGAGAAGTTTGACGACACCTGCTCTAATCTAATTAGTAATAATTAAACACCAGTAAAATCATAGCTGGTACATCCTTATACTGAAAAGCTGCTTAAAGTTATTTCACCATGTGACAAGTATTTTCAGAGTAGTTTTTATGTCCCTTAATATTTTTTTAAAGGAAAATTGAATTATACAAAGTTTAATATTTGCAAAATTAATAGATATTCGATTAAAGTATAATATATTTACTCATTCTTCCATCATTATTAATCAGTAAACATTGAATATCTGATGTAAAATGCAGATTGTCAGCAGAAAATGCATTAATTTGTTATACTATAATATTGATAGTCCTTAGAAAACTGGTTTGCCATAATGGGGATCTTTGTTTAACTATAGATCTAAGTGTGCCGTAAAATAAAATAATTGAAAAACACTGTCACTGTGTTTGAAACCAGACTAATCAAGATTGTAAATATTAAGGGGACCGGAAAGTAATGTGGAAATTCAGACAAATAAATGTTTAACTTATTTTTATTTTTAATAAATAATGTTCTACCCTCATTCTCAACAACTTTTGCCAAGCAGTACCAACCCACCCCAATTCATTAATTTTATCCAGAGTTCGTCTTACGCAGTGCTGTTTTGCATTATCGTGTTGCCGAATAACGCCTATTCTGTTACAATCGCTGAACACTTTTCAATTAACGATTGATTTATTCCATCAAATTGTTCACAGTAAAGGTCTGCATTCACAGTTTGTCCAGGTTTGAATGATTCCGCGAATACTCCACCAAACACACAAAAGTGCCGTTTAGAGATGTAGACTCACTTCCAATGAACAAACTATCAAAAAATGGTTCAGTAGCGTGTCGCTGTAGCAAAAAGTTGTATGTGATGAATCGGTTAGCTTTGTTTTCTTCAGTCATATTATGCGGTACCCAAACAACTTCTCTGCATACTTTACTAATCTGTTGCAAATATTATTGGATGTTCGACCAAATTTGGTTAAAAATGTTTGAGAGTTCTTCGATTGTTAGACACGAATTTGGTTCCACTTCTACCCTTAACACGTTATTGTTTAAAGTTGTTGAATTTCCTGATACGATATACGTCTAATGCACTTGGATAAAAATATCAAATGTTTTTGGTAGCAACTGTTGAGTTATAACAATAATTATTTAGCCTACGTTTTTTTTTTATTTTAAGTAATTTCAAACTATATCTTAGTATATAATTTTAACATGAAGAATCATATCAGTAAACAAGAACACTTTAAAAATGTTATCTCGGAGACAAATCGTATGGTTTAAAAATGTAGTAAAAATGTAAAGATATATTCTACAAATATTTTAATCTCATCGTTTTATTTTAGAACTAAGCTTGTATTTAACTTCTACTTACCAATGCATAACTTCAGGAAACTTCAATATTTCAATCAATCAGAATTCATTATAGTAAATTAAAGTAAGTTTACGTTTGTACATTTCTGTGGGACCCAAGTTGCTCTTTTTTTTTGTTAAACTGTTTCGGTCCATAATTTGTATTGATGTAGTTTATTTTTTCTTACATTTTTTTTTGTTCTTAATTTATCAACAAAGATAAAATTCTTAAAAATTAGTACACATTAGTAAAATACATGTTTATACGTAAATGATCTATTATGTTTCATTTACACAGTCACGTTTATGTTTATGCGACTTTCTCGATTATTTTTATTTCAAACTGTCCGATTATCCAGACTATCCAAGGTATGCTGTATTTATGTTATACTTCTGTTGCAGAAATTGAATAATCTTCTAGCAATTTTGATTAATTTTCAGTTTTATAAACTTAATAATTAAAAGGACTTATAATACTTTGATACGGTATTTACAAATGAAATAACTTTTCACTTAATCTCTGGAAACTCTCCAGCCCTTTTATATCCCCTAAAACCGGTGCCTTAATCCGTCCCTGTTCCCTGTAGTAATAGAACGTCAAGTGTAATCTGATAATATTAAAGTGTGCGTCAGGATTTCGCGCCGTGTTTGGTTTCGCGACGCGGACGTCCGTGGAATTTCTAAAAAGGATCGCAGGTTGCGAACACACACTTATTTCCTTCTCTTCCTCATCATCTTCGAAGTGGAGGGATTGTTCAACTTTCCTAGAGCACAGCAACTTGTAATCTCTCGATTCCGTTCTCATCGTTCTACAAAGAAACCGCAAGAATGATAATGACAATACTTCGCTTCCTGTTTTCCGTGATATGCCATTTTTTTTGTTACGCGATTTTTGTTTATTTCGAAAAATAATAGCTTATTTATCTGTTTTTACTGTCAGGTGATAATTAATCCATTATATAATAAAAAAAACCTTGTTAAAACTGTTTTGATCATTACATCATCATTAAGTTATAGAGTATTGTGTATCCAGCAACTGTTTACTAAATAGTGTTTAGATAGGATTAGTAAACTTTTTAAACTAATGATTTTATACCAGTTCAGAATATCTTTTTTCATTCTTATTGGAATATTCCTTGAATGATAAATTAAATTGTAGTTTATTTCAAATTACATTTTTATTGTGCTACTAAAAGTCAGCTGAAAATTATTGTGACAAATACTAGTAAAACACTATATGATTAATTGGAATTTAAGAATACTATTTTGATCATTACATAATAATTAAGTTTTATGGCCTTTATGCAAATTTACTTATAACCTATAGAAATAATTATCAAAATCATGGAAATATTGTAAGAAAAACGCAAATAATTATGTTTTTATCACTGAAATTTAAATGTAAAATGCTTTTCAAAATAAATCAAAATTGAACCAATTTCATTCTAAATTCATTTATCTACATAAATTTATTTATTTAAAATGCCTAAATAACTGAATTTTATTAAAAAATCATCATAAATCATCATTCACATATAAATAAAAACATGAACAAACTTGACTTCATTGTAAGTATGAGATATACATATTTCCATAACTTAATAGCTGAATTTACGTAAGCACGTTACGTTACGTTATCTCAGTTAGTCAGCAAATATTTCCAACACATAACTGGCGAAAACGTTTTGGATATATTTTGAAATCTTGAATAATTCAATTTTTACTTCCATTATTTTTTATGTAATAAACAATATCAAATATTGTCAAATATACTTCTAAATATAACCTATATTTATTGCATAATAACTTCTTTACTACACTAAAAAAGATATAATATTACCTTATATTTTTTTTAGAAAAATATGTTTTCATTTTATAAAAATTCTAGTAAGTAGTGATGACTAAGGACAAGGTAATAAAGCTTAGTTATGAAACAAATTGATAAGATGTATAAACAGATATACGTCTAGAAATATTATTTCTATATAATTAAACGACGGTCGTTTCCTTGAAACATTTCAGTATAAACTCAAATTATATAATTATTTAATAATTTAAATTTTAACAGATTTCAATGAAAACCGAACTAAAGTATCTCTATTTTGTTTAAAATAATTTAAAAAAATGGGAAAATTTTCAAGGTATAACTTTGGACGTTTTAAAGACAAGAAAACAAAATATAATTTTTCAGTCCATCAATATTCACCTTGTAACAAATGCGCATTATTGTTAAAGAAGATAAATAAATATTAATAATGAATGTATACAAAGTATATATAATATAAAGTATAATATAACTTTTGTTGTTTTCACTACTTTCATTGCTCACAAACAAGGATATAGCGAGGACATTAATTTCGCCCATTACCTGCTTATTTTAACTCGGCATTTGTTTTAATTTTCTTTAGTCCTTATGCTTTCTTCTGCATATACATGAAACGTAAATTAGGGTAAATATAATATTTAGGGCAGAAAAACCTATGGTCAATAGCCATTTGTATCAATTAACTTTTTTGAAATTATATATATTTATTTTGTTCTTTTTATTAATGTATATGTTTTTTGTACGATTGATGCAATAAACATTATTATTATTTATAATATTTAATAATTACATCCTAAGATTTTGTCCCAATTAAGCGGCTGGCCCAATTATCCGAAATTACTCAAAAATTACAGGATTAGTGCTTTTTAATATTTTCTTAATAAATTGCACAAAATAAAATAAGTAACAAAACTATACCTATTATGTATGCAATACACATTTGTATACATACTACATAATAGAAAATGATATAATTTCTGGAACAATAAATATCAGGCAGATCTGTCCATGGATCCGGCTCAAGCACAGCATCCCAATTAAACAGAATATTGTCCCGAAAAAGCGGAGTAAATATGTATTATTGCCTTAGCTTTCTTTTCGTTTTTTTAAGATTTGTCCCTAATAAGTGGCTGTCCCAATTAATCAATATTCCAATTAAGATGAATCGACTGAATTACTAAATTAGTTCATCTGTAGATCTACTTTATATAATGTTTATATTATTATAAAACATCATTCTGTGTTAAACTGATTTTTAATTCTTCTAATAACTATTTTTTACTTAGTAACATTATTTTTTTGTTAAATAATTGAACAAATATGATTGCTTATGACAGTTTTATTTTCTTCGGTTATTTTTTTAAATTATAAATTATATAATATATTATTAAGGAAGTGTGATTGACAGAATATTTTGTTTATCTTTGATGAAGGTATTTCTTGGAAATGATAATGAGTTCTTTTTTATAAATACCTTGCATAGTGCGAGTAATCAGTTCCGCCAATATCCCGTACTGTTTAAAAACGAACTAATCTAGGTCACTAAAAGCGGTTAAAAATAAACAACGCAAAAGATACATGACTATGTATAGTAAAAAAATAATAATGTAAGTATAAAAAATAATTTTGTGTACTATATTATTTTTTATATATTTTATATAAAGTGAATGAGGCAAAGAGGAAATGGAGAATTTGATTTGTGCTTGAACGAAATCTTATTTTCGGTAAATAAGTAATACAGTAAACACAACATAGATAAGCTAATTTGCAAGAGATAAGAGCGACGATGTTGATTTATTGTGATCGTTTGGCTGCTTTCCTTATTTTGGAAAATTGAAAAGAATCGCTCATTAGTGCGACGTGTTTCAGATAAGCGAAATTATTATTATCTAAATTTAGTCATTCCCAACGCAATTATCTATCTGGCATAAACGACGATAAGCCAGCACCGAACAACAAGTAGAGCGTACAGTTGTTCTGTGTTAGTTTTGTTCTCGAGATGCAGAAGTTCGTATATTTGTGTCCAGTGCTGCCGTTAGGATCGTGCCCATGGGAAGGAACCAGAGAAGAGGTGCTGCCGCATTTCAAACATACCCATCCGGATCTGCTGATTGAGAGCAATGTCTTCAGGCTGGACGATTTGGCAGGCGAGAAGAACCAGCTGATGTCGTACTCGGAAGAAGTGTTCCTAATACAATCAAGCAGTGTCAGCAGCAAAATTGAATTGACCTTGCGATATCTGGGCAGTCAGGTGAACGCGCATACGTTCAATTACTACGTTGTTGTTCAGGCTGGAAAGTATGCGTTTAATAACTTATACTCGGACAGCTACAATCCGGTGAGGAATAATGGACCTATCATCGAAATCGATATGGATATATTGAAGATGACGAGCAGGGGAGCTCAGGAGGTAACGTGCACGTTGAACCTAGAGATTTCGCTCAAAAATTTGTCGCGCGAGTTGAGCTTGAAAAGGAGCAAAAGACTTGCTGTTAGCAGGAACAGCAGCTTCACGCTGCAGCAGATCTGTCCAGAAGAATCGTACTTCGTCGGTGAGAACATAGATTTTGTAGATAAAAGGTATACAGACTCTGATAAATTGAGTTTAATCAAATGCAGTACGTGTAGTGATAACATGACTTCGCCGATCTACATGTGCGATTCCGGACACAGCGTGTGCTACCAATGTAAGCTCAAGACCTGCGGAGTCTGCGGAAACAGCATCCACGACTTCCGCAACACCGACCTAGAAGAGGAGAGTCGCAGAATGAGACATCCCTGCCGCTACAACCTTTGCTCAACCGTTCTCGAAGGCCGCATCATCAGGGAACATGAAGTCCAGTGCAAGTACACCGGGTACAAATGCTTCGTGTGCTGCAAGAAGTTTGTCTATAGCGATGCCGAGGTACACTTCAAAATGGTCCATCCATCCTTAAGGCTGTGTAAAGATATGATCGTCCAGTTTCCTCTAGATTCGCACTTTGTCATCATAAGCAAATCCGGCATCTTCGAGTGTTTATCCGAGAAGCAGATTACCATTACCCAGTGGACGGTGCGATTCTGCGGAAGCTCCCAGTTCTTCTACGAATGCCAATTAACCATCAAAGGAAAAAAAGGTCACGAGAGGAAGTACGTTCTGCGACGTAAAGGCAATGACCACAAACTCACACTGAACTTCAGTGAATACAAATCGCTCAAACCTGTGATGGCCACTTTACAGATACACGCGCTTTTCTAAGAGCATCTAACAGAATATGTAACTCCACTTAGTTTATTTCATTGCTACAGTTGCATGATCTACAGGTTTTCATTAGAATTCACTCTGTGTATCTTTGTTTGTTTCCAAAGGGAGACCAGACAACGAGACTCACTACACCTGGCGCTCTTGGAATTCACTTTTAATCGTTTTTGTTTCTGTTTATTTGCGGAAGGATTAAAATTCGAACCTCCACACGTTTGCACGACTGTTTTCATCTGCACCGGGTAATTTCCAAGCAGCACTCAATTACAGAGACTTTCCCTCTTTTCAACTAAATTGAAATAAAATCACTTATTAGGGGCTTCGTGCTTTGCAACTCTAAGTCGAACAGTGTTTATTGTTGCATATGAAATTCCGCCATTCTCAATCTTATAAATAGTGTTATTGTAGTTGTTTTTACTTAAAATTGTATTAAATCTATTATTTATTTTAAGGTTTTACTATAAGATATATTTTTTTAAATAAATGTAAACATAAAACAAATGCTTTTATTAATTAACGATAAATCTAGTGAATATTTAACAAAAACCTCATAAATTTATAATAATCAACTCTCCCAAATAATTAATCCCATTTTTAATTAACTAATCAACGTATTTTATTTGCTAAACTAAAAAAATATCATAAATATACAAAATACATAATAAAATTTATTATTTATGCGCAATTTGATGCTTAATGTATCGATTTTCTTTAAAGTAATTATCAAAAAAGATTAAGGAAGTTCCTTAGTTAAGAAATTAATTAATTTTGCATCAACCAGAGATTACAAAATGTTCGTTATATTGAGTTGTGTAATAAGTTCCCACGTTTTTGTTATTTAATTTTTTTCCTGAAAATGTGTCTTGCTGTACAAACCTATAAAAAAAAAGTACTTAAATTAGGAAGTAGTGCTAAGCGATCAGTGTTAGATGCAATTACTCCGTATAGACAATTATTAAATTAAATAGATAACTGCGCCAAGAATCAGCTTTAGACGCATATTTCAAAATGTAATTTACTGTATACGAGATGATTATTTATTTTATAAAACTTTTATTTTTTCAAGAGAAAAACTTTTTATTTATTTTACTTATTAATGATTCTAGTATGTTTACGTGTAAAAATGATGCAATTTTGTCGCCTCCTATTTGTTAATCGAGTTTTAACTAAAAAACATGTATGAACTCTATTTATTAATACTTTTTGCTCCAAACAATGTACCGGACAATCTTTAGTTTTACATACACATTGAAAATATAGGATCAATAAAAACATTTTGATTAATCTCACGTTTGTAGAGCAGATAGCATTACGTAATTGAATGAATGTTTCAAAGAGAATGGTACACATTTTGCTAATTGAAATCCCGAGTGTTTGCCAATAACTTCATAACGCGTATTGATTTTAGTATAGATTACATATTGCACTATACTCTCGGTATTCTGACTAATTCTGTAAATATTGATTAACGTTTATACCATAAATGTACCATTGGTAGATGAACCTGAACTAATAGTGTTTTGATCTAATAAAAAAATTGTAAATAAATTATAATTTTATTTTTAAAAATTTATTTAATTAAGTAGTATTATCAGTAATCAATGTGAAAAATATTTACTAAATATTTTTTAAATTATTATCCTAAAATAATATTATTTGCAACAGAAATAGTTTTACTATTTTCTGCTAGTAATATATGTTTGACGCATCATTTAAGTCAATCGATAACATAAAAAGATTGTTGAATTTAAAATTAGTCAAACCATATATTTAACAACAATTAACTTTGTAATTTATAGTAATTAATTGATTAATATAACAGATAGAAGATCATCTCTTCACTACAAATAATCTAATAATAATCAGGGCTCCAGTGTGCCCAAAGGAAAACTCTCTAAGATTGTAATTAAACAACATAATATTGGACATATATTTCTACAGTTACATAATGTCAGTGGTTTGAACGCAATATTTGTAATTTCCGGAAACATAATTTTATTATGCAATAATACACGCATTATTCAGATGTATGAATAATTTCCATAACATGCCAATACAATTTGCTTCAAATATATTTTACAAATTATTGTATATAGTTTATGTCTTTCATTCAGCAAACATGGATACTTAGCCAGATAAAATTAGTTTGAGGAAAGTTAACAAGTTTATTTATAATCTACAGTAAATTTCTACATTCATACAAACGTACAAATTATATCTATTGAAAAGGAAAATTATTGATTATAAATTTTGATAAATAGGATGTTTCTTAAAGGCAATCTAATATTAATAAAGATATAATATCAAAAAGATAAATCTTATTATGATTCTTTATTTCTAAGTAAATTTGTTCTTTAATAGGATAAACTTAGATAATAGACAATATTAACCGAATTGATATATGTATGTTGATATAGAAAGAAGATTAATGTAAAATTTATCGATTTTATGAGATAATTATAATGTTTTTTTTTTAATATTACAGAAACTATTTTTATTTACCGGAAGAAGAATTATCTTATTGTATCTGAATTTTTCCGCGCCGCCGCAAGTCAAAACATTGGTATATCTCATGGCAAACTTTATGTTAATATATTAGAATTTTCGCGACGCACGTGATTTATACAGTTCAATCATTCAGTTAACTTTCTGGATAATAATTAAAATAACTAGTTATTCAAAACATATCTGTGTGAAAGGTACAACAACATCTCTCAACACCTATCTCGCAACTTTTACTAACAATTCTTAATAAGAATTAAACTATGAAAACGACAATTAGTTGTCCATTTAATTTATAATTTGTTTATTTATTATCTTCATGAACTATATTTTTTAAGTACAGTGTTTCAATTTTCGAAAAAAAATCTAAAACAATTCGGTTTCCAAACAACTTATAGAATATTTCTGGCCATTATTATTCAATCTAATACCAAGTCGTTGTAATAATTTTCACACAGATTACTTTGATCTGAAATTCAACAGATATTTTGTACCCAATCAAAAATAATCTCATTTTAAGATAAGTAAAATTTATAAATCATTTTTATCGGGACTGAATCATAGCAACACTTATAAGTCAAAAATTCTTAAAAGTTTATAAGTAACTAGTAATCTAATCTAACGTAAAATACTAAATACCAAACAACATTCCTTTGACTATGATGCACTTTCAACTTGCTTACCAGGATGGACCTTTAAATTAATTTCAGTTTTCTTAAGTTTAAGTTAATATATAGATCTTTCTAATCTTTGAACATACCCCACCCCACGTATTATAATACGTGGATTTTGTTTTCACTATTCCTCTAAAATACATTTTGTGATAATTTTTAATCATCTTTAATGGAGACAGAGCATAAATATACATTTGTTTTTTTTTTTAAACATGGCTACAATTTTGTTCTTATAAATCCATATTACATATATAAGAATTAAATTTAATTACAACTGTCTTCTACGTTAACTTATTTCACAGATCTGAAATTTGGCAACATTTAAAAATATTGGACAATCTTTTAACTAATTTTGAATTAATTTTGAATTATTTTATAACTGTATAAAGACAAATTCTCTAACTAAATATAAGGGCATTTTGTATATATACATCCTTGGCACAAAAATTGTCAATATTATCATACTGTAATTTAGAACATACTAATTACAATATAAAACTATAATGACGATAACATAATCACAATAGTAAATATTTGTATTTATCACAATACAATTTTAAATACAATAAAACTGTTTTTTATTGTAGTCATAAATTCTTGAAAATTGTTTAAAGTCCTCGTCTTCAATAAGTAATCATTTGGAATGTTAAATTATTAATTAACAATAACAACAAAATGCATTAAATCTTAACGAAAACAATTATAATCAGACTATTCTTATTTTAAATTAAGATTAGGACATTATTAATTTGAAGCACTGAAATTTTATCTTCTTTGCATAATTAACAAACAAATTAGTACCAAAAGCTTTCATGCTATGGTTACATTAATGAACAGAAAGCATCATTTAGTTCAAAATAGACTGGTTAGATGACACTACTTGTATAATATTATCTATTTAATAGACATATTGTAACCATATGTTACAATACAGGATCCCCCGCTTAGCGTAATTAATTCTAGAAAAGTTTTTAAAAGTTAAAAAAATTAACGCTAACTGAATAAATAAAAAAATATAAAAACTAATAGAATTATCATTGGTATTTCATAAAGTTTTTTTTCTTGTAATTGATTATCAACAACAAAGTAAATATATTTTGTATTGTAAAACTATGATTGGTATTAAAACTTGCTACTATAGATCCTGGAAAAGCAATTGTTATTTATCATCTACCCACGCAACATGTTGTTTAAACGTTACAATGTAACATTAAATCATTATGGCTAGAATGGTATATTGAATTTAATAGAACAATGTTGAAATGTGAGGAACAAAGAAAACATTAGCGGTTTGTTGCAAATAAATATTTGGTGAATAAATAAATAATATGGAATTAACGAGTGCGTTATCGCAATTTTTAAGCGATAGCGATTATCTCAGTTTTGGCGTCGTATTCTCCTATTGCTCATTGTTGTGCGTTGTGTTGGACCCGTAATGTGGCAAATTCCTGACGACCTCCTGGACAGGCTAAGGTGCACCAATTGCGGATGTCTTCCTCAAGGACCCATCTACGCAGACGGGGGAGGCGGCGGAAACACTGGTGACGTCTATTGGTGCTTGTCTTGCTCCAACGTCATCGGTGGAGAGCACGGATGTCATCGTCAGACCGGTTTAGAATTGCTTCTTCCTCAACTGCTCGTGCCCTGCGGTAACAAGAACCTAGGATGCAAAGCTGTGTCTAAATACACCGAAGCAGAGGCCCACATGTGGACGTGCAGATACGGATTATCCTCGAGTCGGGACTCTCTTACTGCAAGTCAATCAGCCGGAAGCTCTTTATGGTCATTGAGCAGTGCAAAAAACAAATCACGGCCTAATCAGTGCGAAGGCCTCAAAGTCAAGATGGAATGCAGAGCCAAGGAGAACAAAACGACTAAGAAAGTAACTATTATGAAGTATTGCTTGGAAGTGATGCCCGGAAATCAATTCCTCTACGTGCTCGACAAATATGAAAGTTTGCTGAACGCCAAGCCAGTCTCTTTTCTGATTAACGGCACCATCGCCGTCAAGAAAACTCCGGAAGTTATCACGTGCAATTTGAATATCGTGCACACCAGTGAGAACATCTACGAGGAACCAAGAATATTGGAAATCTGCCCTAACTGCAAAAACTTCACCGACAACATGATCAAATGCTCAGGTGGACATTTGGTTTGCGCATCCTGCATCTCGTTCTGTACTGAATGTAAACGCATCAGCAGGAGTTTAGCCACCATCAACTGCAAGCATTCATGTCTCTGGCAAGGCATTTACTACGACTTCATCGAGCACGAAAAGGAGTGTCCGAACGTGAATCTACCCTGCATTATCGATGACTGCACCTGGAAAAGCTCGGAGTTGCTTCTGGCACAGCACTTCCAGCAGAATCACACCGATTACGTGCATACCTCTAATACTATAACCAAAATACTCACTTTAGGTGACGAGATGCATCTTCTGCTTCCTAACAACAAATGTATATTCGTATGTAAAATCTATGCGTACGACAACTCGATAGATTTCTTGGTAGAGATGTACGCAAATACCTGCAAACGTCGGATTAAATACAACATTGAACTACTTTCTGAGAACCATAGTCCTCTCAAAAAGAAGTCACAATTATGCTCCATCATTGGTAAATCTGTTTTGGATCCGGCAGTTTCATTTACCAAACACGAGATCGAAAATCTCAATCGCACGTGCAAAATTATCTTCTACAAAATTACCATTCGTATTTAACTCATTATTAATATTAAAGTGTACTTATAATATTATTAACACAATTTATTATATTTTACTTACTGAGATTAAAATAGATTAAACATTATAACAATGGAAAGAAAATTGTTTTACAAAACCTACCTATTTAATAGAAATATTTGATAAAGCTATTAATATTTTGTTGGATGAAGTCACACACTCTGTTCAGCCGTACATTTAATAAAGACAAGTGAAAGTAATGAATAATTGGCAAAAAAAAACTGGTGGTGTGGTGTGCCAGATACATAACATACACGATACGTTTAATTAATGTTGTAATTGCAATAAAATTTCAGATTTCTAACAAAAAATTAAAATTTGATTACATACAAATATATGTAATCCATGATTGCTTAAATTAATATTTACAAACAATAGACATGATGAATAATCGATGATTAATCATGATGACGAAACAGTCTACTACAAACAAACTCTGTAAATTATGTATGTTATAAATCTTGCTAAAAATTGAAATACAGAAATGATGTTTTCTGATTAAACCGTGTTGAAAACTACTGACTATAAAATCCAGTTTTTTGCTGGTTTGTGGTTTCCTTGCAAATGTTATAATAATATTGCGTATTGAATAATTTCGTGCAAAAATAAGCAAGAAATTTTGATGTTAATGAATGAATGAATTAATGAATGGTGTCTTAACAATTAAAAAAATATATACTATTTATTGTTTTTCAAAATTAAATATATTTATTTGTACCAAAATTATTTTCTTAAAATCATTACATTCAAGAATCAATCTGCCTATTCCTAAAGAATAATTCAAAATTTTCAAAGCTTTCCGGACTATAGCAAACTTCATGCATATTTGGGATGTCGTTGACGTCCACTGTATCTTCGTCGAAAATGGGATCATGATCTCAAGAGTTTAGAATCCTTATCATCGTCGATCTCCATATCCAATACTTCAGAACTGTAATAAACATCTTCTCTGTATGCGATAAATTCCACAGTATCCTCATCGAATATAGCATCATCTTCGTCTGGCCTATCGCATTCCTCATCCATATGGTCCTCTTGCACCTCACTGTCGCAGTCGTCTTCGAACTCCTCATCGTAGACCTCACTGAAAACCTCTTCATCAACCTCGTCGATTATCATACCGAATGGCATGAAACAATTTTCCTGCGTCTTAACTTCTTCGACATTCTTCAAGTAACACATTTTGTTAATATTAAATTTATATGCTTCACCAAACTATGACTGCAACTAACTGAATATGCCAAATAGATGTTCAGCTTTTATACATATTTTTGAGGGTATTGTAATTTCATTTTATTATGAGCAATAAAATATTTCCGTAAACTACTTGGCCCTTTTTCTTTTGAATTTATACCTGTGCATGTTTACCAATAGATCATAGCATTTTCTGCTAATTGTATGGCTTTTGAAATATCTGCAAATCAATTCTATACTTTTCCAAGAATATTCCAATAATAGTAAAACAAAAAGTCAACTGTTGCATAGGACTATTGGCCATAGGTCTTTCTGCCCTACTTTTTTTTTTATTTTATGGCTTTTTAAATATCTGCAAATTAATTCTAATATATAATGATGTAGTTTGAGTTTTCCAAGAATATTTTATTAATAATGAAACAAAAAATCAAATGCAGCAAAGGGTTATTGACCATTGGTCTTTCTGCCTTACATTTCTATTTTGCTAAATAACTGCAATTTAATTGATGTGTTATGAGGCAGCTTACACTTTCCAGAAAGATAATCCCTTTTTTAAATGTATACCTGCCGCATATGTTTATTATTGGCATCATTTGAGAGATCGTAAAATGTGAATTTTCTACTACGTTTATGTCTCTTTAAAAATCTGCACATTAATTTCAATATATAGCTTGAGTATTCCAAGAATATATTATTTCATAGAATTATATTGGCATCGAGAGTAACTGCAATGAAAAAAAAAACGTTTTAAGCATCCCCAAAACAGTTAGCAAAAGTTTAATTCAGTAAAAATATTTTTTTAAACTTTCAAATGTCAATATGTCAACATGCAAAATTTCATAGAAATAGGTTATTAGAAGATACAAATGAATTGTGTAGAAGTTCAGTACTTACATGTTATAATAATATTGCGTATTGAATAATTTCGTGCAAAATAAGCAAGAAATGTTGTTATTTTTAATGAATGGTGTCTTAACAATTAAAAAAATATATACTATTTATTGTTTTTCAAAATTAAATATATTTATTTGTACCAAAATTATTTTCTTAAAATCATTACATTCAAGAATCAATCTGCCTATTCCTAAAGAATAATTCAAAATTTTCAAAGCTTTCCGGACTATAGCAAACTTCATGCATATTTGGGATGTCGTTGACGTCCACTGTATCTTCGTCGAAAATGGGATCATGATCCTCAGAACGTTTAGAATCCTTATCATCGTCGATCTCCATATCCAATACTTCAGAACTGTAATAAACATCTTCTCTGTATGCGATAAATTCCACAGTATCCTCATCGAATATAGCATCATCTTCGTCTGGCCTATCGCATTCCTCATCCATATGGTCCTCTTGCACCTCACTGTCGCAGTCGTCTTCGAACTCCTCATCGTAGACCTCACTGAAAACCTCTTCATCAACCTCGTCGATTATCATACCGAATGGCATGAAACAATTTTCCTGCGTCTTAACTTCTTCGACATTCTTCAAGTAACACATTTTGTTAATATTAAATTTAAATGCTTCACCAAACTATGACTGCAACTAACTGAATATGCCAAATAGATGTTCAGCTTTTATACATATTTTTGAGGGTATTCGTAATTTCATTTTATTATGAGCAATAAAATATTTCCGTAAACTACTTGGCCCTTTTTCTTTTGAATTTATACCTGTTGCATGTTTACCAATAGATCATAGCATTTTCTGCTAATTGTATGGCTTTTGAAATATCTGCAAATCAATTCTTTTTTCTTTACTTTTCCAAGAATATTCCAATAATAGTAAAACAAAAAGTCAACTGTTGCATAGGGCTATTGGCCATAGGTCTTTCTGCCCTACTTTTTTTTTTTATTTTATGGCTTTTTAAATATCTGCAAATTAATTCTAATATATAATGATGTAGTTTGAGTTTTCCAAGAATATTTTATCAAAAAATCAACTGCTGCAAAGGGTTATTGACCATTGGTCTTTCTGCCTTACATTTCTATTTTACACTTTCCAGAAAGATAATCCCTATTTTTAATTTATACCTGCCGCATATGTTTATTATTGGCATCATTTGAAAGATCGTAAAATGTAAATTTTCTACTACGTTTATGTCTCTTTAAAAACACACATTAATTTCAATGTATAATGCTATAGCATGAGTATTCCAAGAATATATTATTTCATAGAATTATATTGGCATCGAGAGTAACTGCGATGAAAAAAACATTTTAAGCATCCCCAAAACAGTTAGCAAAAGTTTAATTCAGTAAAAATATTTTTTTAAACTTTCAAATGTCAATATGTTCACATGCAAAATTTCATAAAAATAGGTTATTAGAAGATACGAATAATTTTGTTTAAAAGTTCAGTACTTATATTTCGTCGGAAAACTTTTATATTTATATCAAAAATATATTCGCTTATTTTTTCGCTTAAAGTTTAGTTTCTTAACTTTTGAAAAGTTTTTTATATTAAATTAAAAAAAATCATATTAAATTGCAAATTATTGTATTGTTATGATGAAATATTTAATAATAATTCATTAAAAAAAAATAAGACAAACAAATTTAAATAGTATAGAATAAGAAAAATAAAGATAAAGAAAAGTTCCAAGAAAATTTCAAAGAGATCTTCGAAGCCAACTACAAAAGTTAATTGTAAGTAGATAAGGAATCAGAGAAACCAGACGAAGATGGTTTATTCGATAAAATGGAAATAATCTTATGAAGAAATGTGCATATTTTTTACTACAGTTCTAAGGTATTGGGTATAGAGATCAACGACAATAAAAAATAGCTAAAAAGTTTGTTTGAGTCGGGAAGGCCCTGAAGTAAACTAATTATTAACACCAAACAATTCTGATACAAATAATATATGTGAGTTTGAAAAATTTATTATTTTTATAAATTATTAATGACTATTATTTATCAATAATATGATAATTTACTAAATGTATGTCAACTATTTATTAACATAAATATCTTCAATAAATCTGAGTACATTAATGATTTAAGTGTAAATTGTAATCATAATGGAATAACTAGAGTAAAATTTCTATAATGGTGTTACATTTTCTTTAATGCTCGGTGCGGATAAAAAGAAAGAAAAAAGAAGTAAACATGAACTAAGAAAAATAAAACCTTAAACCGATGGCGCGTAATTAAGTGCATGTGTCGCGCTGTGGAAGGAGTACGAAGATGGTGGAAAAGCTGGGAGAAAGAGAGAGACAGAAAGAAAACAACAGCGAACTAAATACAGAGGAACGCTAATGGGAAGAGAATCTACACTAAACGCCGTCGACCAGACCTCGACATTTTAATTTTTAGAGTCAAGTAGTTTGTGCTGCACATTTCCAATTTAAATATGCCGAGCTTCTTCTATTAGGCAAAGTTATTATTAACGTTACAGAAAGAAACGTTTGAAAGGATATTTATAAAGGCACGGTAAACACTTGCATTTGTTAACATAGGTAAGTTTATAAACAAAAAAAATACAAAAATTCCGCACTATTTGAATAGAAACCGATTTAAAAACATACACATTTTCAATTTAGATGGTCAGGCTTCTTCTATTAAACAAATTTATTAACTTTAGAAAAACAAATATCCGAATTGACCGAACCGCTTGCAATTATTTCCATTGGTAAGTTAAAAAGAACGTAAAGAATGCAATGGAAAAGGATATAAGATGTTTCGAGATTCAATCTCAAAGAAGAACTTTATTATTCGATCCATCCGAGTTTATTAAAGGTTCTATCATTGTTTAATTTCCCCTCGAGATTAATTAATTAAAACGTCTTTGTGCTGTAATTCCCGTTTATTAATTTTCCAGTCGACGTTCCAATGAGAAAAATGATGAGCGTTTAATCTCCGCAAAATAAAGGATGAACGGATTCGCGCTCATTGTGTTTATCTCCCTGGTGCCATCGTCGGTCATCTGCGAGGATTCCTCATCCTTCGAGGATGGTTACTACTTGGACTCTCTTATCGAAGAAACCGCATTTGCCGTAGGGTATGTGAAATGCTTCTTGCATTTTCTATTTTAATAAATATATAAATATTACATCATTCAATAGATGTTAGCAGATGTTCAATGTTATGGAAAATTACTTGCGTAATACGCTTTCAGGGACATAATAATTCGCTCGGAATATACAAAGCGTATTCTCTTTCATATCACTTTATTTCCTTTGCTTCCGTTTGCGCAAGGGCCCATACTTTGTAACTATTAATAGTAGACCACTGAGTTAACAAATTGTAAGCTACAAAAACTTTAACATACTTGTTTCTGTTTTTTCGGACAATAAAAACATGCGACTATTTTTGCAAAAAAAAAATTACATTCATTTCTGCACATAAGAGGATTTTTCCATGTTGATTTGTTTATATTGACTACAGTCTTTATTTTATGCTTTTCTGCCTAAAAATAATGTATTTTTTTATTTTACTTTATTTGTAAATCAAATATTGGACACAGCTATAGACCATGGTTTTTCCGCCCTTTAATAATTGATTTATATAAAGTATACTTTATTTATTTACTCGAATAGATTGAGTTGGAAAACAGTCAATATTTTCCATCTCTGAACAAATATGAAGGCATTCCAGGACAAAAGCCAATTGCTAGTATAAATGCCATACAAATTGATACTACAAATATGGGTGAAACATATCATGATCGAGAGGCTCTTGAACCTCTTAGGAAATACAGATATTATTATATTTATAAATTGTAAAATATATTTTTCAGCCGCAATTCTTATATAATTTACATATGAGTTTATTCAGTAGATAATTATATAAATCATTATGTAATAAATGTATATAAAATTTAATCTATTACTAGACAATAATTATATTTGTAAAATTTACAATATTTAAATAGATTTCAAATTGTACATGAAATTTGTATAGAAATTTTATAAAATACTATTAATAAATAATAATAATTTATTTGCCAGACATCAATACAAAAGAAAAAAAGTACATTCTATAAATAAATAAATTCTAACATAAAATTTAAAAAAAATATTAATAAGCTGGTCAAAGGGCTAACGACCGAGGTCTTTCCGCCTTTAAATACCATTATTTATTTGTTTACTCGCCAAATGACCAAAGTCTTTCTGCTTGAGGAATATATAATTACAATTTATGTTTAAAAAGCAACTGCTAATCATATACAAAATGATAGAAAAAATAATAAACTAAAACACTGTTAATACACAATTACGAGGGTGGTGCCAGAAGTACCTGACCTAACAAAGAAAACACACAAAAAATGGAAAAAAATATCTTTATATCTCAATATGGTGTTCTTAGCGATGTTCAATAGCTTCGATACTTTGTTTATAGTGAAAACCGTCGATCTCTGCAAAAAAAAGCCAGGAACCGCAAAGTCCACCTCTTCATTATTGACAAATCTTTTACCACCGAGCCATTCTTTTAAGTTTGGAAAGAGATAATAATCCGAGGGAGCTAAATCTGACGCGTCACCCATCCCATTTGTGACCAAACACGGCACCCATCTTCTACAACTTCCTCATCTCCAAATTTTCAGTCAATATGAGATGTACATCACTTTTTTTTAAATTACTACCATGTCTACTAGCTCGCGCACTTTTAGTCGATCATCGTCCAATACTATTATGTAAATTTTCTTCACCATTTATGGCGTGGTCACCTCATTTGTTTGTCCACTGCGATGTACGTCTTGGCACCTCGTACGACTTCGTTTAAACTCTGTCACCATTTGGTTGTAAACGAAGAAGCAGACTTCTCAAGAGTAGAATCCAACTCTGCTTTGATATTGGTTACACTGAGATCTTTTAAATAAAAGTATTGTATCGCATAATGATGACCATCTTTTTCCATGTTTACAAATTCACCGACATCGTTCACTATTGATCGCTGTCAAACATATACTAAACAACGTAACGTCTACAAACTTCAAACTTAAGCTTGAGTCATAGTAGTTCTTTTTTACTTGTATTTCTGGGACGGCCCTCGTAACGATTTTTTTTCTAATTTTTAGTTAACTAAGTGTATAAATTAATCATTATTAAAGTTACTAATTTTTAAAGTGTTTTCAACATTAATTAAATGTAATTGCGGTAGACATTTTTGGTAAACTTTCCAATTGAAGTTTTTACCATTATATTCATCTGTGATTTTCTGGTTGGCTGTCTTCCTGTAGATTAACGTCAGTACTATATTAATGCTATGCGATTCCACTATTCCCTTTGACTGCTATCCTTAGGACTGTCATTGTCCATCGCCTTAGCTGAACGTCCGTATGCTGCTAACCTTATTCACTGAGCAACGAGGGAGCTCACAAATGCCTGGTATGGCCAGGATTAGAACCGGTGTTCACGGGACCATTGCGACTTTACCATTCGGCCATTAGCCGCCCTAAGTAAATTTATGAAATAATACAATTTATTTTTTAAATAGATTTTGTTTGTTTTATTTAGGATTTACTCAATTATTCGAAAACAGATAAATTAAAAAAACCACTGACAATTGAAGTAATTTCTTGTCCCAACGTTGTCCCTTCTCACCAAATTTAAAATCTAGTCACCTTAAGTTTGACATTAATTGGTTTCTTTTTTTCATCTATTACGTTTGACGTATATGGTAATATGATACTCAGCTGCGTCAATTCAAAGTCATCCAAAGATACGTGAATTGTGTGAAAATAATTGATCATAATGTAACATTCATTAAAAATATAATAAGCTAAGAATGCAGTGAAGAGAAAGGACTTTTCAAAATAGGATAAGGAGTGTAAGCTTCTGTAATTAGCAGCAGCTCTAATGCGGTGGCTGCCAAACTAGCGCATAATTGGCGCCGTTTTAGAACAACAATGTTTTCTAAATGTCGTTAAACTGTGTTCCAGGTCGGATACTCTGGAATGTCCTTCGAATAATGTGATTACGACCCGGTACAAATGCAAAATGCACGGGGAATGGGTGGACTGCACGAGGAAACACTGCTGCCCGAATTACATCTTCATCGCCGGAAAGTAATAAACCTCGTTACACCGAAACTATCCAGTCCTGTCTCGTAAGTTGCAAGTTGTTTTGTGTTCGTCTTGCAGGTGCGTCTCGAAGGACGAGGATCCTTGCACGATGGGACAGTGCGAGCAGCAGTGCACCATCTACATGCAAAGGGTCATTTGCTCATGCTACGACGGCTACAAATTCAGCCCAGAGAACCAGAGGAAAGGCGAACGGCCTTTCTGCATCGGTAATTAACATCCGCCTCCTTCTTAATTAAGACGCGCCCAGCTTTAGTTTTTTTTAATAACAGCAAAGAAATTGCGAGCGCATGTGTTTTATGCACCGTCGAAACGTCCATAATTCACGCCCAAAACCCACGTCCGGGCGGCCTTAACTACGCAGCAAAACAATGTTGCAACTAATTAAGCATAATTCTCAGTCGACCTACAATTATTTGCAGATTAACTCTAATAAGCTTATAGTGCTAATGAAATATGTAAAAAACAAAATTTCCATTGCTAAAAACATGTCTTCAAATTAATTTTCAGTTTTTCACCTCACATAATTCTCAACCAATATTATATGCAAAAACATATTTCTCATCAAAGTTAATTACAGTAAAAGAATAATTATCAAATGATATAAACCCAACTACACACAGACCGACCGATAAAACCAATAATTGTAAAATAACAAAAAGAGCATTATTAATTCACCATACGTCTGCGAATTCGCGAGATGCCGCCTTCTGTCATAATACATACTAATTAATATATATATAATTAAAAAATATAATTTGTTTTTCTCATTTTTATTTTTTTAGTCCTAAAAATGAACTTTGCTAAAGAAATATTTAATTATTAGTTTAGAAAAAGAAGAATATTTTCTCATTTCTCCTGATTTATTTTTTTCGAATTTAAATCACAGTTATTTTTGTTTTATCAACAATTTATATAGTTCCATTAGTTGCAGTTTTTATAGCAATTAAAAATAAACGTATTTTTATTACTAAGATTGGATTGGATTTTTTTTGATAATGCATTCAAAGTTCAAAACAAATTTCAATAAGTCTTTGCAAAAAAAAGATTATTCAATATTGAAGAATGATATTTTATTGTTGATATATTACAATAAACTTAAACAGTAAATTGTATTTATACGTAATAAATCTGAAGATTTTGCAAGGCGTAATCTAAAAAAACAACAGAGAAATCTTAAACTATATATAAAAATGTTTAAATTATTACTCGGCAAATAAGTATATATTTTTTATGAGCCTTTGACGCAAAATGTAGCAGTTGGAAATTATTACAATGTATATAGTCATAGTTCGTTTCGAAAACTTGTTATTAGCCGACAAAACAATAAAAAAAAAATGAAATTATCTCTTATAAGGAAAAACAAATGTGTGCACCACATGTGCGCAAATAAGTACAAATAAAGTGAAAGTGAGTGTATGAAAAGCTGTAATCATTAAATTCATTATTTATTCTGACATGATTAGTTGATGGGCAATTTTTTATTAAATATATAATACAGTCGTACCTCGTTTAACGTTACCTATGATAGCGAAGCTTCAGTATACACTTCATTATAAAATTTATACAATTCTTAGAAAGAAGTCCCAAATAAATGAAAGTATGGCCAGCAGTTTTATTGAAAAAAGAATATAACATACTAGAAATAAGAAATGAAGTTATACAAATAGGTCAATCAATAGGTTTCGAAAATGACAAGAGGAAGTAAAAAAAAATGAATACAAAATATGTTTTTTTTTTAAGACATTAACCTTTAACTTGCGCCGGTATAAAAAGTACACCAATTTTCTAAGAAATGATACAACATCTATATTTATTTCCCCCATCTATGACACTTAACGTAACCTATGTCCAAAGTGTTTACTAAATGCCGATGTAATATTGTTATGACTGCGGCACAAATAAGTTGTTTTTGTGCATGTTTGTTCTTGCTCTGCAGTGTTGGTGTAATAGCGGACGATGCTGATACCTCTACTCACGCTTATATAGAGGGCAATGACAACAATTCTGATTCAGAAATTATTATATTAATATATTACAAATAGTTATGAATCTAATAAAAAAGCATTAGTTAATTTGAAAAGTTTTTTCTTGTCGTAATACAATCATTTATAGACTATTACTGGAGTAATACATGTAGTGTATAAAATACACCGCGCGAGTAGTTCATACAAATTTCAGTGCGCGAGTATTTATTAAGCTTTAACGAAATTTAAGAAATTCCTGCCAAAAAAACTGCAAAAGATTAAAAATGGTGTCTTATTATCAAGCGATTGAAAGAATAAAAATAATTAAATGTCTTCGTATTTATAAATCAAAGCGCTAGTGACCACATGCTCAATATAAAATGTACAATTATAATAAAAATTAGATGTCGTCAATCACGAATATTGATATCATAAATTAAAAAATGAACCTAAAGTTTAATATATTTACAATTTATCATGTATTTATCAATATATAAATATATAAAACATTAAATAAATCGCACAATTCTACAGTTGAATAATAATGAGTTAGCAAAAAAGAAATTTCGGTTTTCACATATAGATAGTGTTATGATTGTTTTGAAGGATTTCTGTCACGAAGAGATATATGAAATCTCGATAGTGATTCTCGTAAAAATGTTAAAAACTAAATAAAAACAGGAAGTCTGTATATATTATTGTTTCTGCAAAATGGTGATAAAAATTATATTGTTCATAATAAAAACTGCATAATTACATATATTACTGTGGAAATATAATACTTTAGTAGCAACATATTAAATTTATTTTTTAACCTTTGACATACGAATAAAATATAAGTTTTAGGGAAAAAAAGTACTTTGATTTTGTTCCTTTAGATTTGAATTATTTTGTTAGTAAATAATTCAAGAAATACTAAAGACTACTTACTTTGTTACATATCTATTTATTAGTAAACATTCCTAAAAAGTTCTTTATGTCCTCCTGTAAGTACTGAATACTTATAGGAGGACATAAAGAAGCGTTGATCCCATGAATTGTTTTATATTATTATTATCCAATTCATTTTTTCTATAATTTCTGACGAGTATCTTACGTTTACGAACAATATTTTATTATAACTTTCATTTGATCTACTGGCTACACTTTTATTAAAATATATTTACGAACTTACCGTAAAAATTATTATGTTTTTCATTACAAATTTACAGATGTAAGACATTACTAGTTATTATTTTTAACGCGCAATTAATTGAAAATTCTAAAAATTGTTTCTTGTAATTGTTTCTTTAAACAATTATTTATATATTCATTTAATAGCTTTATATTGTTTTAGTTTATTTCCATTGTCTCACATATAAATATTGATAATTTATGTAATGTTGATTGTAAACGTATATTTACAATATGTATTTGTCTTATTACTAACATCAGTTAGATAAATGTGTTCTATATTAATTATCTTATAGATTCTATAAGATTCTATAATATAGAAAGTATTTTAAATCAACCTATGGGTCAAATACATTTTTAATGTGCCTCAAAATAAGAATTGACATTTAAGACAAAATGTCAAAAAATGTTTAAACAATTGAGTCGCAGTACAACAGCAAAGATGATTGCGCGGTAAAAAGATTGAGAAATAAATAGAAATTTATTAAAATTGAATAATTTAAATTATTTAACATAGTTAATATAGTCAAAACTATATGATGTTAACTCAATGTAAGACATTTTTGTAGAATTGAGTTAATATTGAACAATATTACTAAAAATATGAATAATTTCAGTCATTGAAATAATGAGTAAATCTTTAGATAAGAAGGTACGCTTTTGTATTTCAGAATTTATTTATTAATTAAACTTGAACACTAACATATATTTCACTGGCAATGACTTGAAAATGCCTGTCTAAATTTCCAAATTTCACATTAACTTGTGTAAAGTTCTTATAATGGAGGAGGTCAAATAAACAAGAGTAATTTCTTAATTACGAGCATTTCGAAATCATAAATTACACAGTGCGAAGGAGGAAATGAGGAAATCCCTTTCGAGTTGTTAATTAATTTTGGGAAAAAGGGGTGGCGTGGGCGCACTGTTGTTATGTCTTAATTAATGTTCTGACGTGCAGATGTTGATGAGTGCTCTGAGGGAATCAGCGACTGCGAGCACGAATGCCTAAACGAGGTCGGAGGCTACAGATGCGGATGTCGGGAAGGACACGTGCTCAGGTCGGACAACAGGACATGCAAACCGGATGCGACCATCACTTACCAAACGGATGGACTACAGGAGCTAGCCGCCTTCAGAGACAGATGCTTTGCCAACTGCGATACCGTGCAGAAGCTTCACGATAAGATGAAGGTGCTGCAGGAGAAGGTGTCAGCGCTCAGCACGGCCATACGTCTTTCCAGCTTCGCATCCGGTCCTCCGGGACCTAGTGGACCGTCCGGACCACCGGGACCTCCAGGTCCGCGTGGATTTCCAGGTACTATAAATTAAATTCTTAATATTGTCGTGTCCCAGGGTTAAGAAATCCTTGGACACCGTGGATTATCTCGTAGTTATGTCGTTGCGGAGTCTTAGAGGGGTTTATGAATATTAAATGCAATATTCTTAATTAACTTTATTGTATACATCGGAGTTTTATTGAGAAGTCAACTAAACAATAGTTGATCTCAGGTATTATTAACTAAGAGTTACATTCTCCTCTTAAGTTAGTGTTTATGAAGTAAGTGCTCTTCCTTGGACTCTCCCAAGTAGGACTTCTTCTCAGTTCGACCCCTTAGCTAAGACTTCTTCTCTCTTCGCTCCCCTGACTAAGACTTCTTCTTTCTTCGCTCCCCTAACAAAGACTTCTTCTTTCTTCGTTCCCCTAACTAAGACTAAATTATATAATACAAAAATGTGTTCATTTTAAAAAGGGCTGCGTGGGAGAAAAAGGTTTGACCTTGTGGAAAACACAAGTGTTTCTTTATCTAAGTTTTATGATCCTGCACAAATATTTAGGCTGCAAAAGGCTGTTAAGTGGTGATGCAATAGACGCAACTATACGATTTAATGTGTAACCGTCGTTTGGAATATTCTACAACTTATTCTAAATAATCCGTTTGTATATTTGATGGATACATTAAATATGATTTGTAATAATTAAGAGGAAAGTCATGGCCCTAATAAATATACATATTAGTTATACAATAGATGACAATAAATTGGTCGGCCACGACAATATTACTTCAACTAAATCAAAAACATTAATAACCGTATTTTTATTTCAAGAAGATTTTGCTGTTATTTGTGTTACTCATTTACATTTTCCAACTTTTGATATTCACATTTTAGATGTAATTATAGAAAACCAGAAATATTCGTTTCTTTTAGTTCTTGAGAAACGAAATGATTCGTAAACAAAAAATAATTATGGTAGATTTGGACAAAATTTATATAATTATTGCAATTAATAATAATTGAGTTTGTTAATTAATAGTATCAGCTTTGTGGTACAACTGTGATTAATTATGCAATATCAAAATAATAAAAGAGTGAAAGTAATCAAAGAAATAAATTAAGCTAAAAACATGGGCAAAGGTCCAAATGTGGGAAATGTAATTTAAGAAATAAGCAAAGATACAATATTTTATAATAATCAATCAATAATAGCACGAGGGTTATTACTATTCATTACAAACTTCTTTTTTCTTAAGTTCAATTTATACTGCCATCATTTTGTATCTCTCTTTTTTAACTTTTGGAATTTCTAAATCTGCTTTTCAATTTTTTTGTTTCAAGAACCTCAAACCAATTGAAATTCGATTATCCTGATTCACCCTGATGATAATAAAAAACAGCGGGTATTGCATAAAAAATAAAATATAAATAAAACTTAAGTAAAGCTCTTTACATTGTTTTCTCATTAAAAAAAAAAAACTTTCTAGTTAAATCTTCTTTTTTAAATTACGAAGAAATTCTTTTGGAGAATTTCATATTTAATTATTTTCTTACATACTTCTAACAAATCTTCGTTTTTGATAATTTCAGGAATTCCTCTTATTTTTAATTTAGTCACATTTCTAATTAACTAAATTAATGATACAACAAAAATAAAATATACTTTTTTTAACTAAAATATGTTTATTGACATTATAGTAAAACATACATACAATTTTATAAAATTCCAAAATTAGATGAATGTTTTCTACTTCATTGAATTTTATTTTGTGCGTGATATCAACAAGTATCTACTAAATAATATAATTTCCATGTAATGATAATTTGCTACATTAAATCTTCTAATTATTTGTAATGAAATAATATGAGTGAATTGTAGAAGATGTGTGATTTTTATCGTCGAAATAACTTTATTCTTTAAAAAAATGTTATTTTTTAAATATATAATGATGTTGACTTTTGCAACTGGCTATTCAATTTATTTTTGTTAATTTTCTTTAAACATCGCCTGTAAAAAAAGTTGAAAAATGTTCATCTACAAAATATCGTAAAAAGAACGAAATTGTTCTTAATTGTGTAGTCATGAGAAAGTAAAAAATAAATAAAATATGTCTTTGAGTCTCAGTTGAAATTTGTATTTTAATATAATTTGTTTCAGGACCTGAAGGAAGTGGAGTTGCACAAGGCAACACTCAGGACTACACGTACTCAATATTGGACGCTTTTGTGCCTTTGCCAGGGGATGAGAACGCCCAGTGCAGATGCAAACGAGGCGCCCAAGTGAGTAAAGAGGAGCAAGGGTGAATATTTAAGTATAAAACATACGCAACATTGTTTAGGGCAACACCGGCGCACCGGGTCTGAGAGGTCCTCAGGGGCTGCAGGGTGAACGTGGGCCGCGTGGTCTGAAGGGTGACAAGGGATCCTTTGACTTCCTGCTATTGCTGATGGCCGACGTCCGACACGATATCGTCAATTTGCAGAACAAGGTTTTCGAAAGCGGCAACAAGTAGGTTCACTAATCCTTATTACATTACTAATTAATTCGACTATTTTCTTAATGCCAGACCAGCAGGGTTCGACTTCGAAGCAGCTTTGGAGAAGAAACGTCTAAAGGGCAAGAACAAACTTTTGCAGCAGTACCGCACGCTTCAGGCCTACACTAACCCTGCTGTCGTGGCTAACCTGAATGCTACCACAACGACCACAGAGCCGACCACTGCAGCTGTTCCAGAGACTACCACCGAGAAATATCTCATTGAGGAATTTAAAGATGCCACAAATACGCTGGGACCTGCCGATGACTATGACTACGAGTTTAGCGGAGAACTGACGGACGAAGACTACATCTAAGAATAAATATTTAACAACCTTAGCAGTTGATACTACTAAAAAATAATTGTAAGTATTTTTTTAGACAGAATACTATAAAAGCTAAACCAAACTTTAAAAACTACATTAGTTGTAGTTATTTTAGGTTCACAAGTTCACATTATTTGTATAACAGTTGATTTTATAATTAAAAAATATGATTAGCTAATCGTTCATTAATTATGCTACTAACTTATCAATATTTCTTTAATTGTTGCGTATTAAGTCCATAATCCATCCTAATAGTTTGCATTTCGAGCTCCTGTATGGGTTCATTTGTTTTTTTTTACCAAAATCGATTCCACAACAGTATTTCTACAAATAGTACTAAATATTACAGAAGAACCTGCTTTTGAAGGACCGCATTTTTATACCATTATTTATGTTGTATATGAATTCCAAAAAAAAACAGGTTTACAGTATACTTACATTAACAAAATACAAACTGGAAAACAGTCGTTAATAAAAAATATTCAATATTCTAGAGATTACGTTTTTAAGGAAATTAGAAATGAAACACTTTTTAAATAAAATATATATTTATCTTTTTTATAAAAAAAAGTAAAGTTTTAAATCAACTCACATATTACAAATAAAACACTAAAGTTGTTAATAGAAAGTAGTTTGCCTTATATAAAGACTTCGCTGAAAATCACTAAACTATCAGAATCGGACTGGATTTGCCGGTGATCAACAGAGGCCAATAGACCACCAGAAATATGAGAAAGAGAACGGGAAAAATCGATCTGGACATTCGGTCTATTTCACACCACAACACCTTTTCCACTCCATTTTTCTGCATATAAAAATGTTCAAATCTATAGTTTAATAATAGTAATGGATTGAAATAATCACCGTTTTCCAGCAAAGCGGTAACCAAGTGTTGGGTTCGTGTGTATATGTGGATTTTCCAGATTTTGCCAAAGTCGTACACCATTGCGTTGCGATGTTCGCCTCCTGCGATCAAACATTTATTTTCTTTAGTTACATTTGATACTAAACGCAAAACCTTACTGATAGTTCCTTCTGCTTGTAGACTTTATACCTCTCCTCCAATACTTTCACTATAACAAATTCACTCAACGCAGAGAAGACGAAAATCATGCATCCGGCCATCCAGAGATCTATGGCCTTGAAACAAATGTTCATTAATACCAGTTTGAGATTATTGCTTTCTCAAACCTTGACGTAAGCCACTGGTGGAATATCGCTTCTTAAACCGGTGAACATGGTTACTAGAGTTAGAAGACAGGTGACTAGGAGGGTGACGCGACCAGGAACTGCATCCAAGCTTAACCAGAAGCTGAACCAGGAAACCACCACTACCAAAGTTGATGGTGCGAAGGTCTGGATGAGATGGTGACCTATCTGTCGTTCGAATCTAAAGTTAACTACGAGCCTAGAAAAATTGCCTGAAAAAATATCTTTTATGATAACGCGAAAGAATTATGATTGCACCGCGAGACCGTTCTTCTCGTTGGTGTAGATATCGCTCTCTTCCAGGACTAGAGGCTTGGCTATATGATATTGAAGCAGCTTCAGTTCTGGACTGACCACGACTCCTGTATCCGACCACTTCAAACCCATTTTGCTGTTATCATAAGAAACTGCATACAAAAAAAATGTAAGAAAGTAACGGATGGAAGGTAGCAATCACTCACAGCTTTCGATACTCAAGGGACAAATCTGTATATCCATTGGGTAATATTGGAATTCCATTTGACAGGCGACGATGGCGTGCATTCGAGCCGAGTATCGAACCGTCTTGTTCCTGTAAAGTGTCACCGAAGAAAACTTGTGGGTCAGCGTAGCAATTTCTACAATTCGCAAAAGTTATTTCCTATTAATAATTCATTTGCTTCAATGCATTACCGACAACTTTGGAGTTTAGGAAGTACAAGTCCGGCTGCCACAGGTTGTTAAAGATATGCGTTGGCAATGTCACGTATTCGTCTCCGTATTCAAAGATCTCCTCTGGGATCTGCAATCTGGTGTCTGTCCATTGCTGCCGCAGAAACATGTCCATCCTGCACAATTTTATTCAAATAAACATAAACATTTTAATGATATACAACTTTCATTACTTCAAAATAAATATTATATTTAACGACTCCTTAAATACATAACATTTATAAAACGTACTTAATTTGCTCTATTTTAAAATTATAATTTGAACAAAATGACGTAGTACACAATGTTAAAAAATATGTTTTACACAAATACATTTTGCTTTATGAAATTAACCTTCAAGTATCAATTACACCACTTTCCAGATACAGGTATCCACTGACTTACGAACTCCCGGACTTACGAACAAAATACTAAAAGCTCTAACTTGTTACAAGTGATAAAAAAATAACTGTCCAAACAAAAATTAATATTTTTTTTTAATAATATATAATATTTTTGGAAGATGTACTATCTATTTTGTTGCATTTATATATTGAAAAGTATTTGTAAGTATTTTGTTTATTTTAATCTATTTTTTCAAATTTATGCAGTCAGTAATACGGAATTTAAAATATAACTATAAACCATGATAAAGTGTGGTAAGATATTTTTAAAATGTTTGCTTTTCTTGATAAATTTACGCTGTTTCTCGTGACAGAAAAATAAATCAATCATAAGCATAAAAGTATGCACCTATTGTCGAGACAATGGTAAGTATGTTCCGAAATATTAAAATGTAATGAAGTTCCAACGCTGTCAAGGCTCATAAATTTTAAATCCCTCAGTAAATAAGTAAGACATGTGAAATAATTGTTTAACTTCCAAAAAAACGATATATTTTTCTATTGTAATAAATTTAAACAGCTGCTGATAATAGTATAACAATATAAACATTTGAGGCCAAAAACAACATACTTTAAATATAATTATTGACCTAATTATAGGTAAGGTTCCAAACATAGATAAGGTCCCTATCATAAATTTGCTAATTAATATTTTCCTTTATGTTTAGTGAAAATACAGTAACTCCAATTATTATAACAAGTCATGTTTATTTACTAAAACAGCGATTTTCAAGTAGATATCATGAGATAAAAAAGTTTAAAAATTAGTAATTTACTAATACTAACAAATTTCATTTTTAACAATACTTAATTTTTACACCGAAAATATATGCATAGCTATTTACAGCAGTTTTTCCTAAACTATGATTTTAAACTTAAAACTATTTAAATGTCAATGCCTAATTGTAATGACTAATATGACAATTATCTTATTAAAACATTTATTTTAGTAAACTACCTTATTTACAGTATAAAGCAAATTGAATTATTAAATAATATTTATTGAAACAGTAAAATTACTAAATAAAAAACATTACAATAATAAAAATATCATAAATCAAAAAGTCAAAGGGCTATTGACCATAGGTCTTTCTGTCCTGAATTATTAAATTAACATTAAACTGCATTCCAATTTCTATTGTGTAAATTTTTGTAAAATTATAGTATTAAAAGCTTGAATAGTTCATTTTAATATATCGTCTTTTCAATAAATTTAGTGACCTATCTGTATATAATAAAATGAAAAGTAAATATATAGTTTTGGTTAAATTAACTGTCATAACAAGTTTAAGTGTTAAATTTAACATTTTGCTCACCTGAAATCCATGTCTTCTACGTTTATAGAATTTATATCGACAACGGTCATGCTAAATTCAATCTTCAGAGGTTTACCTTTGTACGTGGGCGGTCGAACTTCTGATTATAAAGTTATATTTAATTATGTATTTTTTTGTTGCTCAGTTCGCGCTTCTCGTGATAAAATTACCTTTAAGATAGTGTTCCGGCAAAATGCTCTTCGGCTTGTGAAATTGCTTAGCCTGCTTGGGGATGATGGCATTGCCGAGGCCGCTAAAAAGCCATGAAACGTTAATATCCAAACAGTTTGCAAGCTCTTCCATTACCATAGCAATATGAACAACACCAGCACAGCACCTAACATTCCGCGATACCAAGAAAAACTCGCACGTATCCGATTTTATGTACGATATATATTATATATGAATCGTTAGCACCTAATGGCAGCTCGCAAGTATAATCGTGTCTTCAATTACCTTGGCCGGGCCAAGATGGAATGAAAAAAGTACATGGGAATCGGGCGAGAGGAGAAACAGCGATACACACACAAAAAAAACAAGCAGAAATTGAATTACATAGAAGAAAAGAAGTGTGTACGTAGTAATTGCAAGTCGGGCCGCAAAAGGCAAATTGCACGCTTCCGCTTCCTGCAGGCAATAATTCCATTATTATCCCGAAACGCGAAAATTCGCCGACAACGACAATTACATTTTATTACTTAACAATTATTATCACAACTTATAGTTATTAGACAGTGTTATTTTATTGCTATTTCCGCAGCACTTCCAATTCCTCTGGCGTCACGTGGATCCTGAGCTGCTTTTCTATTATGAGATCCTGGATCTGCGACAGTTCTTCGGGAATGTAAATTGCGGCGTCGATGTACAGCGCCTGCAAAAAAAAACACGATGATGCACTTGTCAATTCAAACTAATAAATCTATTTACCTTAAGCCAAGGACATTCCTCCACGGCTAAATAGTAGGCGTCTCTGCAGATCTTGGATTCATAATTAGAGTAAAGAAATTGCAAGTAAAGTCGCCAGACTAAACCGCACCGCCTCGTGCACATGTCGCTCTTGGTCAGCTCTTTGAACAAAGCTAAAAGTCGATTCTTTTGACCGTTATCCTGTGTCACTATTTGACCTGGAATTAAAGAAATATTAGACTATAATAATCAATTTATATTTATTTGAAATTACCAGTGATGGTATCTACCCATCCTTCTGTAACGCTATCAATCCGCTGCTGCGTGATCAAAATCAAAAACAAACTTGGTAAAGAGTGACCAGTCTTCATAAGAGCGGTCCTAATCTTCCACCAGGGTTGTCCGCTGCACATGTGAAGCTGCTGCACTTCAGCCAAGACGTTCAAAAAGAAAAGGTTATTAGGAAACTCCTCTATGCCTTTGATAACGGCCTTATCCAATGCAGGAAAGAAATTACTTCCCGGTTTTTCGGTACAATCCTTGTAGAGCACAGCAACGAAGAACTCCTGCAGTATCTCCCTACGCCAATCGCTCTCTCCAATCATCGCCTCCTCCACAACCTTCAGACATGCGGCTGTGGATTCTGTAAAATACACAAACCACGCGTGGCAAATCGTCCAATCTACATAGTAATCCGGTAGAAATTGATGCGATGAATTCGTGTAATTATCCGGAGCCTCGACCTTCCGCTCCTGGAACTCAGCCTTGATCACCTCGGACGATCCACTAATCAAGCTCGAGAAATACTCCATTATCGATGCCGTTTCGCAGTTATTACTCAAGCTTATTTCGATTAAACTTCGAACTATGGAACAAATCGTATTCTCGTCTCTGCACATGCTCAAAGCAGTTTTCAGTACTTTCTCCGCAGCTTGAAAATTGCCTTGTGCAAACTCAACCAATGCATATTCTTGAAAAAGGATCGTATTTGTAGAATTCGCCTTCAAAAGATTTTTCATGTCGGCTTTAAGCTGTTTCTTGAAAGCATCAGATAGCACAAGGATTTTTCGCTTCTCAATTACCATTAATACTCTAATGAACCGCATCCACCAAATACATACTGCATTTTTCTCGCCAGATTCCAAGTTATCAATGCAAAGATTCACTACTTTCTGCACAAATTGTAAGTATTCCTCTTGCCCAGGGAATGTCCTCAAAAATTGAGGGCCTACCGATAAACGGTCCAAACTGGACAACAGTTCGTTTTTCAAATTGATCGGATACATGGGAAGGTAAACCCCCAAAAGAGATTCGATCGAGTCCAAAGACCAAGGGACGTAATCAATTCCGAATTTCTTCATAGCAGTATGTCGACCAGGAAGCAAAGGGATCTTAAGCAGCGTTAAAATCGTTACTGTTAACTTCAGAGTGTTACCTGGCATGGTAATCGGGTGTATAAGTTCGGAAACATCTTCGGGGAAGACTATTCTTTGAGGATCTTCGCATTCCTCTCGTAGCGGAACCCAATGCGAAGCCTCGCGCAGTTTCTCAATACGCAACCATAACTCATGGATGGGTAACTGTGATGTCAGCACGAGTTCCTCCAACTCAAGTAGTTGGTTCTCTTTAAACGTTGAATGTATATCGAAGTTTGCGGATAAATTCAGTTCCAAATAAAGACGTAGCAAAGTCCATAGCTGTTCAAAAAGTCCAGACTGCTTGAGAAACAAACCACATTGAAACAGAATCCTTAGTATATTTTCCTCAAGGATTGCTTTATCTAGCTTTGCATTCCTTCTAAGAATATGAAGAGTTTGCAAACACTTGATATACTTATTCAATACAGCTGGAGTGGTGCAATGGGACATAGAGCATTGTGTGGCCTCAATATAGCCCTGCCACAATATTATGTTTGACTGCTCTTTCTCCACCAAGTTCTCCATATATGACTGCAGCTCATCTGAAGGGTAAACACCAACCGCAATATCCAGTCTCCTTCTCAACAATTCCTCATTGTTTGGATTCAATTGCAGAGCTTTATCTAGTATACTCAACTGTCTCTCTGCTGTCACTCTAAGTCCCTTAGCAATACTTCCCTTTTTAAAATTCTTTTCAAATTGAAAGACTGTATTCTGAAAATCACAGTACTTTAACCAAATACTCACATTGTTTGGTTCCTCATCCAAGGATCTATTATAAAATTCTGTTAACTTCTTCATTTCTTCTTCCTCTTGTACAGATTGCATATTTGGAGATGCAACTTCATCCTTTTTATTCATAAACCTGTCATCTTTCTTTTCAATATCTTCTTCGCTATCACTTCCATACACATTTCGTTCCAATATATAGTGATAGTACCTCTTAAATGTCTTCATTTTCTTGTTGTAAGGTACAGATCCAATTGTGCCCTTTAATTTGTATTTTGGAGCTGAAGGTCTCGCAATTCTTTTAACATTGAAAAACTCTAAAACTCTACTTCTATCCTCGTAAAAACCATCATCTGCATCTGGATTGTTCTTCGCAAGACTCTCTGTGCAGTCCTTTTGCTTATTACTTTTAGATTTTTCCTTATGTTTATATTTTTTAAGCTTATGCTTTTTTTTACTTTTTGTGCTCCTCTCTTCAACATTTGTGGTTTCTGGTACATTTGAACTTGTACTAAAACTTAATTTCATATTTTCCAAAACATTCTCTGCTTCAGTCTTTGTCACTTCCGTTAAATTTGCAGCAGCGTAAGCAGGAAACAAAGCCATTTCGTTATTAAAATCTAGAGACTAATAAAAACGTAATTTGTTTTGATGTTTAGGTTATGAAAAATAATAATCACAATATATATATATATATACATGCAGGAATACCAACAGTTATTATGCAGAGCTCTGGCTAGGTTTATAAATTTGCATTGAAAATATTAAATAAATGAATCATCTAATGTTGTTGTTTTTCATTTATTTAATGTAAATAAATTTTAATACTTGCTAACAAATACAAATATACTTGCACAACTATAAATTATTTATAGTAATAGATTTGTTAAATTTAAGTTTAATTACTTGGTACGTTTCTTTTTGGCATAAGGTGATAGCGAATCCGATTCCAATATTATACCTGGCGAAGTTGTAGTAACATTCACGTCGTCCATACTTCTCAAACTAAAACTGAAATTATTAATAAGGTTGCAAATTAGTTATAAAATATTTCGTACTTAGTCTGAGCTTCTAAACTATTCAATAATTGGAAACCAGTTTCCAAGGAAGAAAATCCAGCTTCTCCCTCCAACGTTGGAAAATGCATTTCCACCACATTCTCATCCTCTTCAATCCTTAAAAAACATATTAGAAATGATCCTATTTACAAGGTGTAAAATAACTTACTTTTCTGTTTTCAAAACTGGTGGTAGATTCCTTTGCAAGAGCAAGTTTTCATAATGATTATTAAGATTAGAGCATCTCTTTTGCAAAACTCCAATGTAATTTACTACTCTGTTTTGGAAAAACTCTTCGAGACTTTTCATTCCACCAATTCCTAATTCAGTAAGAACTTTCTCAACTGGATTCTACAAAAAGTCATAGATAAAAAAGGAGTATGTACAACTTGTTTACTTTTAATTAATTACTGGAAAGCCACCTAAATCTTCTTCACTAGCAATTTTCAATTGTGCACCAAATTTCTTGAGGAATAATTCGAGGGCATCTGCCAAGAGCAAAATAACACTCTCATGACTTTCTAGAAATAATTAATATAATTTATAATAGTTATAAATATTTTCAGATCTTACTTTCATATCCAATATGTGCACAACTTATGGCAACACATTTCCTTAAGATGAGTCTTGCAGCCTCATTGCTCAACTCTGGATAATCAGTAGAATATTCTTCCCTAAAATGTTAATTTAATTGACTACTTATTATAAAAACTAAATATATCATACGGTTCTTCAACAGGAATAAAATTAAGACAGTTTTCTTTGGGTTTTGATTCTATGCATGGACCTTCAGGTATTGGAGGCACCACATCATCTGGTGGTATTAAATTAGACTCAATTGCTAACTCTGCTATCCTTATTGTTTCAGTTATGTCAATAGCGTGTTTGTGCAATTGAATAGCACTTCCAAAATAAGGACCTAAAGTATCCAAGCTGCAATCAGATATACACTGTTTAAATAAGTACTTTATTATTTGTTAAATAATTAACTTACGTTAATCTGTCAGACTCATCTACGCCACATTCATATTCAGCTTCATATTCTGAAAGGCAATAGTGGTCCATGGATCTTTCGACATCTTCGACAACAACTGGAACGTACTTGGCCTCTTCTTCGTTCACAATTTCCCCCCAATGTTTTACGTCCATCCTTTAGAATTAAACTGGAAACAGAAAACGCTGTGACTATACAACATCGCCCAGCATTTACCAATTTCCTTTATTTACTATTAGTTGTTGATAACAGACAACAACAGCTGATACATGGTTATGCAACTGTATTAACACTATGGATGCCAACCTAGGATAAAATCAATATATCAATGAAAAATAGAATTTAAAGTATAATATAATGTTAATAATTTATTAGTTATAAATAATCACTTTAATTGTATTTTATATTCACTGAATATGTGTAAGCTATACAATTATAAATATATATGGTATAACATTGTTAAAATTTAAAAAAACGACAGAAACCAAAATTGATAGTTTTATATTTCATATACTTTATATGAAAGACATAATATTATTATTGTTGTTACATCACATCAGTTAAGGATATACTTTTATTAACATAATTATTGATCTATTTATTAATTTGTACGTTTTTCAAGATTTATTTTTCTTCACTTTTCACATCCACACTTTATTTGGTCTACGCATCTTGCGCAATTTCATCAGCCACAGCCTTTGTTACTTGAAGATTTACCTAATCCAGCCTGAGTTACAGCGATTAGAGTAGAACAACATGTGGAATGACTACACTAACTAACGACTTTAAAATCGGAGTCTCAGCGATTCAATTCAGTATGTTAGGAGAAACCTCGGATGGATAATGTATGTCTTGTCTGGCTTGCAATTTATACATGTTCACATATCTTTTTCCTGGATGGATAATGTAGATTGATATTTGCGTTTAGGGATCTGCGAGTGTATAGGGTGGTCTATAGGGATACTTTTGTATTTTTCAAGATTTATTCAACTAATTTTAAATTTACTCCTTAGGCAACTTCAGGTGCAAGCTAAAGAAAATATTTAGGGAATATATTAGAAAACAAGTATTATCCCCATGATTTTTTCAGTTCCATGAAATAATTTGATCATCCTCATTAAATATAAATCGATATATATATATTACCTAATAAATAAATTTCAATAGAAAAGCACAGCTCATTTAAAAGACTAACACCCCCCACCATCACTGAGGTTGCTCCACCAACCGTAAACAGTATGACCTAGCTTACTTGCTTGATCATTTGCAAATAGTTGTTCAGTTGATGTTGCGCGCTGATCGTGTTTGTTTACTGATTTACATAAGTTTAATAAACATTTTAAGAATGGAGACTGTCGCAAAAGGTTTAAGAGGACTCAGAGCCTGCTTGGTTTGTTCTCTTATTAAGGTAAGTTAAATTATCAATAATAGTTTTCAAATAATTAATCATTTCCGGTTACAGACTCTTGAGCAATTCGAACGTGATGGATGCGAAAACTGTGATCTTTTCCTGAGAATGAAAGACAACAGGGATAATGTGTATGATTGTACCAGTTCCAATTTTGATGGGTAAGTTTTAAATAAGAATTATTTAGTCTTTAATATCTCTGATAAATATTGAAATATTTAGAATATGCATTATTATTATTATTTTTTAGAATGATAGCTGCAATGAGTCCAGAAGAAAGTTGGGTCTGTAAATGGCAGAGAACGAGTGAGTAAAACAAAACAAAAGTGTTTGTTCCATTAATACTAAACTGTATAATGTTTGCAGATCGATTTTGTAAAGGAGTTTATGCAATTTCTGTGTCCGGCAGATTACCAGCTGGTATTGTGAGGGAAATGAGGAGGAAAGGAATTAACTACAAGCACAGGGATACTAGTCAGCGTTTATAATCTTGAAATTTTAATTTTATTACTAAACAAAAACATAATATAATAATGAATAAGCACAAGAAACGGAAGTTTGGTAAAAGCAAATAAACGAAAGAAGTCACTCGTCGTTTATTTATATATTGTGATATGTTTATATTATTACTCATAAAATGTTTTGCTTGAAACAAATAAAAATAATAACGGTTTGAATGAAATCTTGACTAATTTTATCTTTCCTAGTACATATGCAATATTGGTTGTCTAAGGTTTAAAAAATATAAATATGTTGGATGTTGTTTTTGTCGGTTTCTCCGTGATTAAATTAAATGCCCATTCAAATAGCCTTCTCGATGTTGCAACTATATATTACTTTAAGTACATTACTCAGGGTCGTATCTAGAAGAGAGAGTGCTCGCGTCACTCTATGCGCCGCTCTTTGTGAAAATATCATTTTATTATTACGGTCCCTTTTCTGCTACCTGCATCATTGTATTTTCATAGAAGACAAGCATTTAATATTTTTCTAGAAATCAAAGACATACTGTAACTATTGATTTTAATTGTTTCATCTTGTTATGAAATCTAGGTCACTGGTAACATCTATTATTTCATTTAATCTGGTTTATTTTTGTTCAATGAAGATAACGCCACGAGAAGATTAATTACAATAATATGGATAAAAGATTTGATGTCTTTATAAGCTTAATTAATGAATTTGAATCGTTTATAAAATCAATGTTCGGCAATCGTCGATTATTTTTGCCCTTTATTTATTATTTTCCTAGAAATTTCTATGAATTTTCAATAAAATGTATAGACACATTTTCAGCTTAAAATTATTTTAATGTTTAAGAAACTGTGGTGGTCACTCCAGCCCGCTAATATTACATGCCCGGTACGGTGCGCCCTACTCCAGCCCGCAGCTGGTATTCCAGGAAGGTCCGATAAGGGCTCTACCTGGTTAGGGTATATAAGTGGCTTCGCTTCCGCATCTCTTGTGTGTAGTAATAAGCTGTAAGGTTCCCGGTGTTATCTCGTGAGTATTATTTGTGTTGGCTCTCGGGCCTCGGACTCATTATACTGTAAGAAACCTTTGTAACCTTTATATCATATGTATCACTGCTGTGTAACTAGCCATGATTATCACTAATAAACATTATATACGAGCATCTCCAAAAAACAATCAAATATCACTCTTAAAACACAATATACAGATCATAACACTAAAATTAATGATTAAAAAGTATATTACTCTAAATATGACTGAAGAAAATTTACAAAGTGCATGTGTTACTAGTTACTAATTTCAATATTATAATTGAAAACAGCAGTAAAAAAATAAACCAAAATAGTATATTTGATTCGATTTTAAAATTTAAGTTTAACGAATTTAAATTGCTTTTTTTCGAACTGAACCGGAACCTAACCGAAACCGAATCTTGAACGATAAACATTTACTTGGAACGTAACCGTAAACCGGTACCAAATTAATTAAATTAATCAAGTCGTCTACGTTTCCTATTGACAATCAATTACTCGGCCAGTTAGTATTTATGCCATAAGTAGTTTAACTTTTAGAAGATTTTTCAATTTTAATTTATAAAAGGAAATAGGCCAATTTCCTGTCAATAAGTGTTCTTTTTAACTTAAGAATGTTATAATGTTAACATGACAAAATGCAGGGTTTGTAAATATTCGGAAATCGTGAAAGCTAAAAACTTCACCAATCAGTCCTGAAATTAGAGAGAATATCTGTCACAGAATGTCTTGGCCAATAGATTGCTATTATTATTAAATATAAGTTATTCAAGTTTAAAAACTTACGATTATCATAAAATTGATTTGATAATTTACTGCACATAATTTTTCATATTTTTATTAATTTCAAATACAGGTAAAAAAAAAACGTTCGTTTTATGTGTCGTTTTATGCTCAGTGGTAAGAGATTTGCAAACAATGAAGAAGTGGAATGTGACGGTTCTCACTAAAAACACAGTATCCAATCTATAAGGTCGGGTACTTCTGCGACTACCCTCGTATGATATAGTAAGAGAAGTGATATTGGATTGATTGGATTTAAATTGAAGGAATAGGAATCTGTTAAGCAAAGTTTTTATTCTAGTTTTGGATTACAGATCTTTGGTTGAAGAGTATTAACAGAAAAAAAAGTACATTGATTACGTAATCAAAGATTAAATGGATGTATAGATCAGGGATCGGAAATGGTGGAATCTCAATTATATTTTGGATTTGGGTTGTTTGGAATAGGAACAAAGGTATAGTTTTGATGAAGGTATTCCAGGTGATTGTTTTCAAAGCGTACATGGGTATCATGTGATGATAAGGAACAATGAGTTTTGTTTTAGAACGGTTTATTTTCAGACGCCAAATGTTATACCAGGATTGGGATGCAGCGAGGTGGTAAGTTGTGGATCAAGGATTGAAGAGAGGAGACTTGGGAAGCAAGTATGATATCGTCAGCATATTAGATGACATAGATCGACGGTGTTGGCATCAGATTTATTCAAGTCGGTGCAAAAAAAGATTATATAACAAGAGAGGCAGTGTCGATCACTGCAGGGGTGAGAATAAATTTGTAGATTTTTACTTTACGGGTAGGAAGGATTTATGTTTGTGAATTTGTGCTGTGAAACTATTTATGGAAGTATTGATGTACAGAACATATTATTAAACAAAAAAATGTATTTGTTACAATTTTTATGGATATGATTGTATAAAATAGCGGTTAATAAATATATAAATTAAATTACTACAAAATAAACGAATCGGTAAATTAATTAGTATCATTCTATTCGAATTTATTGTCGAAGCACAACAAATAACATGTTTGTGGAAATTAAACTATTCATGAAATTGACTGTTAAATAAATTTTTCATATCAACACAGATTATACGCCAAAGTAAATGTGTAGCTATTAAACGTTTGTTTGCGGGCTGAAGTATAAATAAAATAACGTTAAATGAATCTACCCCAACTCAAAAGGTGGCTCCAGTTCCAATAAGATGTCGTGTCCCAGGGATAGTTTTCTGGACCACTGTGGGATATTATCTTCCGTTGTCTTTTGTGGAGTCTCAGTTGTTGGCAATTCTCAGTAATGAAATTCGTTTGGTTTTACATAACTTTATTTGTTACTTGGTCGATTTAAGATTGATCTGAGACTATGCTCATCATAATAAGATTCTTATAAGACTTTGTTCATCATATTAACGTTTTACTGAGACTACTTCTAAATACTTATTGTATTTACAAAGTTAATTCTTTTTAATACGGACGGGGTGGGAGTTTGAGGAGTAAGGCACGGTTTTGAGTAGACGCTCCGCTTGAAAATACGAAGAAACGTTACAAATGGTCACTGCCTTCCATGGGATCTGTCTATTCTGCATATTGGTCTTATAGCTCATTGTCCTCAATGGTACCCTTAATGGTTGGACACAACAAAGATAAATAACTTGTTTGGTGTGGGGGATTGTAACTTTAGGACTTAGTGAGCTTGTGCATGTTTCCAAACTGAATCTCTCCTTCGCAAACTGGATGACTTATTACAACGACAAAGACATAACGTACGTTCCATCATATTCGGTGTTTATTTATTTAAGTTTTCAATTATATATGTCTAGAAAATCACATGCAAAAAAAATACAGAATTGTGTTGTAGTGGCCAACTATTATATTATCATCTATTGTATAATTAATGCCTATAACTTACCTCTTAATTATTATTGTTTGTATTCATTTTTTTAAATACATTTAATTTACAAACTATATTTAGATTAAATTAGTTAGTAGTCATTTAGTTGTATCTTAGTGTCGTTTGTGGTCACACAGTTTTTTGTAACAAAAATGTCTCCGAATAAAAAGCTAAAACAAGATAAAAGAAAAAAATATCAATAGATATGAAAAGTAAAATAATTAACAAGGAATATGCGTAGCACATATATACAATCGGTCTACATGAATGATTTGTACCATCCGCAAGAACAAGGACAATATTATTGAGATAGATGCTGCAAAGAATGTTTACGAATCGATCACGTTTTCTCGACGATGTTAAAAAGTTAATTCTCATATGGATATACAAAATACAATTAAAAAGCGACACTATTAACGAGAATATCATTTGTGAGAAAGTGAAAGTGATTTTTGCCTACCTTGTTAAGAAAATGTCAGGATCATCAAATGCCGAAGAAGCGTTTAAAGCAAGCTGGGGTTGGTTCGAGAAGTTTAAGAGAAGAACCGGCATCGACAGTATTGTGAGAGGCGGTGAAGCAGCAAGCTCCGACATAAAGACTGCAGAGAATTTCATCACCGAGTTCATGAAGCTCGAAGATTCTGAAAAATGGTGAAGCTAAGTTAGATAGCAGAAGAGGATAATGCTGCTATTTTGTGCAAATTCAAGAGTCGATTTGAAAATTAAACCTACCTGTCTATCATTCAGAAAATTCACTGTTTCAAACAGTGCGGAATATTAGTGGAACAAGGACACTTGTATAAATTAACAAAAACAAATATTATTGGACAACTTAACTAAAAATTAAATAATACTAGTTTAAATCAGTCATGAGCAAATGTTGTTAGAACCGTTTAATAATTTTTATTAAAACATTGAAAATGTTTATATCATTGAATTGCCCCGATCTTTGCAAGCAGTTGCAGTTGAGCTCTACACCTTCACCATCATCCATCAGAACCAGCTACAAAGGTCCAGCAAACGTACGTAACCTCGTAAAAGAGAAACGAAGGCTGAGGAAAATTTGGCAAACCACCCACCATCCGGATGACAAATCTCGCCTAAATAGAGCCAATAAACAACCAAGGAACTTATTAGAGAGCCAGAGCAACGAGGCGCTGCAGAAGTATCTTCGTGGTCTGTCTCCTACTGGAACTAACGAACACTCACTGTGGAAGGCGACCAAGCATACGAAACAACCGAAACAGAGAGTCGCGTCTTCGACAACCAGCTGGTAGCTGGGCGAGGAGTGACAAAGAGAAGGCGGAGGTGTTTGCTGACCATCTAACAAACGTGTAC